TGTCGCAGAGCAAATCAGTTGAATGACCTAATGCAGTAGAGAGTTTCTTCATTAAATACATTTTTAAACATTTTGTATGTTTCTGTGGTCATATTTTAAAGTTTCACATAGAACTGGATATAGTTACTCTGTTTTTAAAGTCTGCCATTTCAGAGTACAACTACATGTACACTGCTGTACTCTCAACTGATACAAAGGAGGAACTTCCTTCTAGCTTGGGTAAAGTTAGAAATAGTTGTCAACGATGTTTCCAGTTTACTGTCTGCATGATATTGACATTCATTAAAATCGGCCCTGTTTTGTGTTCTGCCCATGTAAGGTGAAGGTAGAGCCATCCCTGTAACAGGCTGTGTAGGCTCGTAGGTTTGTGAGACCTTCCACATTGTAGCATAGTGCCTCGACCATCTACACAGCCGTGTGTTCCAATCAGCCCACGTACATTTATTTGCTGATACTGAGTTAGGATCTTTTTGTTTTTGGTAATTTAGGTGAACATGGCATCACAGTACTTAGTATATGCATTGGCCGCGTCGTAGCTCAAGCGGTTAGTAGCTGGCTTCCCATCGCGATGGCCCGGGTTCAATCCCGGGTCTGGTGAAGTGGGATTTGTGGTGGACAAAGTGACGCTGGGGCAGGTTTTCTCCAAGTACTTCGATTTCTCCTGCCAATCTTCATTCCAACAATTGCTCCATGATCACCCTCACCCATCATCTGGGGCTGGTACAATAGGCCAGAAGTGGCTGCAGTACAAGGGACTTAGTCTCACCCCACTAGTAGTAGTATATACATGCAGTAGGGAGAAAATGTTTGTGTACTGTTAAAGATTTATGGTTTTCTTTATCCTTTTTATGTTTTTATAATCAACATTTTTTAAGATAAGACAAACTGAACATTGGAGAAATTTACTGTAGTCTAAAATGTACCTGGTTTTAATGTATTCACATACCTTATTTGTAAATGCAAATGATTATAAAGGAGCGCTAGCGTTGTTCTAAAAGCTTAATTATGAGTGGAATCGTCAAGTTCTGAATCATGGTGATATCTATTCATTGTATGCAAATGGCCAGTACTTGCCAGCAGCAGGAACAGTCTTGTTATACCAAGGGTGGAAGCTAGGGGAGATCTCTTGTTTGTGGTACTTTTTATGTTTTTGGTTTTAATTTATTTATAGATCAGTAGTCTGGCTACTACATTTTCTGCATCAACCATTCTTGCCAATAGTTAGAGCAGTCACTCAGGTTATTGTTAAGTACTTATAATTATTTAACTTCCAGATTGAAAATACTCAAATATATGATTCTCATTCAAGAGAAAGTGCCAAATACTCAGTTTGTGATTATGCCAACTGCATTTCCAATGTTTAAGTGCAGTATTTTGTTCCAATTCTTTAACTGGAGCAGTGGGTTTCATATCTAAGAGATGTCAGTTTTATTTTATTAGTATGTGTTAATAATATTTTTGTAGAATAAACATTGGAGTTTCTCTCAGGTTGTGGTATAGAGATTCTAATGCAGTGGAATTCTTAAGAGACGAATGATGGGCCACTGTTATGACACATACATGGTCTTGACTGGCCAAGCACTGCACTTCTTCAATATTAATACTGTTATATCTCAAGATAAATTTTGGCTGTTATCACCCTGGTACTGGGGGATTTCTGATCTATTGATAAATGGCTAAGGTTAATGTAATTGGCTGCTGTCACCCTGGTACTGGGGGATTTAAGATCTGTTGAGAAATGGCTAAGGTTCATGTAATTGGCGTAACTCTAAATGTCTTTCAAGGTATTATTTTCCACATTTGACATTTTTCAGTGAATTATAATGTTCTTTCTATACTTATTTGGACTGGTAATTAAATAGTTTTAAATGTGTAGGACTTGATGGTCATGAAGAGTTCTGTCTGGGGTGTAGCATTGTGTAGTCTGTTGGAAGTCTGCCAACTCTTCAGAGGAACATGTTGCCCCTATCTTGAAGATTGAATGGAGATGGGGGCAACATGTACCTCCGTCACGCTGATTGACTTCCACTGGACTACATGGTGTTGTATCCCACAAGATAGAACTCTGTTTGAATATCTGTTCATGGTGGGATCTGCAGTGCCATGAGTGGATCCAAGAAATGTGAACAAATTGTATTAAAGCCTGGTGGAATTTTCTTTGTGAAAAGATTATTTTTTATCACAGAACCATATTGGGACATATAGTTATCAGGGTACTAAAATCAGTGTAGTGGGGTATTCCATGCATAGCAACAGTCATGTTTACAATAGAAAGAATATTATAAACCATTACACTTAAGGTAAAATAAATGATACAGAGAATACAGCTGTTATTTCAGCTATTAGATACAGCATTTCAGATCAAGAGATGTGCCACGAATTCCCAGAATATTTTAATTAATACTAATGAATTTCTATGATTTCATTCATTTATGAAATGTTAATATTCCTTTAATTAGTTACTGAAATTACATATTATATATATTTAATATTTAATGTTATAACACTTGCAAAAATAACTTGAATAGTGTATGTAACATTGGTTCTTTTCTTCTAGGTTACAATTTATTCTGAATTTTCTCTTTCTTATACACAATGCTTTGCTGTGCTGGAGTGTTTACTTCTGTGACATAAGCTATAAATTGAAAGAAAGGTTAACTGAATATAATTGGCACACATTATCCTGCACTCAACTGACTCCTGTCCTTGCTTACTGAGAAAATCTAAACCCCATTCTTAACCCTTGGTTATGTTGGACTTGTAGTTTTAAATTTGTATTGTACTCCTGAAGAAAACAGCTTATAGTTCTCCAGCCCATGTTGTGTACATAAACATGTTTAGTGTTAACTAACATAATAAATAAGTAAAAGGATGAGCTTTTTCTTTCAACCCTACATATCACCCAACTGTGAAAAGTGTTGAATTATATGAAATCCTTCATAGAATCATGCTTTTTGTCCTGCCTAAAAAGAAGTGAAATTTGATTTCTCCATCCACATTTTAATGTAGATGCATATTTCTTTCTTGCAACCAAAAAGTATGCTTATTTGGATATATGTATAAATTACTTTATTTCTTAAAGTTTAGACATGGTTTGATGGTGCATATAAATACATATTTTGCCTGTTTTATGAATAAGCATAATATTTCCAAAGATCTCTATTTATGCTGCATATTTTCTTTTTAAAACGTTTATCGTCCATGTTACGTGGGTCCCTTGTCACCATGGCATGGTCAGTTATTGAATGTACATAGGGTTAGTGGTGTTAGGTGGATAGAAATACAGGGAGCTGAGCCATTAGTACCTGATCCTAGCCCTTTTGACGTTGAAATTGCTATTGCAAAATTGAAATGATTTAAATCGCCAGGTAGTGATCAAATTCTGGCAGAACTTATTCAAGCAAGAGGTGAAATATTATGTTCAGAGATCTATAAGATAATTAATACTGTTTGGAATAAGGAAAAATAGCGTAATCAATGGAAGGAGTCTCTTATTGTACCAGTTCACAAGAAGGGTGATAAAAGCGACTGTAGTAACTGTCAGGAGATATCACTGCTATCAACTTCATACAAGATTTTGTCCAATATTCTTCTCCCAAGATTAAGTCCATACACAGATGAAATTATTGGGGATTATCAATGTTGGTTTCAACATAACAGATCAACTACTGATCAGATTTTTTTTTACTCATCAAATACAGGAGAAAATGTGAGTACAGTGAGACAGTACATCAGCTATTCATATACTTCAAGGAAGTCTATGATTCAGTTAGGAGGAAGTAATGTAGAATATTCTCATAGAGTTTGGGGTACCCATGACACCAGTTAGGCTGATTAAAATGTGTTTAAATGAAACATGGTAAAGTCCGTATACTTAAACATTTGTCTGATAATTTCCCTATCCAGAATGGTCTAAAACAAGGAGCTACTTTATCACCACTCCTTTTCAACTTTGCTTTAGAATATGCCATTAGAAGGTCCAGGAAAACCAGGTGGGACTGTTATGGTATCCAGCTCTGGGGCTGCGCCAGTGAATGCAATATTCAAGTGATTCAACGCTATCAGAACAAAGTACTAAAATGTACTGTCAACGCACCATGATACGTTCAAAACAGTGATCTCCATCGTGACCTTGGGATGGAGACTGTTACAGATATCATCGCTAAGTCCGCCACCTCTCATGAAAAGAGACTCCAAAACCATGTCAACAATGAAGCGTTCAGACTTCTCAGCGTGAAATATATCATAAGACGACTCAAACGGAAGAAACCGTTCGAACTAGTTAAATGTTAAAGTACTACGTAATTCAGTGGAAGTGACTTAGTTTTAATTGTAATTAAGTTCTGGGTTACCAAGTTTTTAATTAATTAATAAAAAAAAAACAACCAGATCTCTTGTACTGCAGAGATTTCCCCCCCACCTATTTCTATTTTTGAACTGTGTTCAGTATCACTAGTCAATGAGGATGAGGTTGGCAGGGCATGTAGCATGAATGGGGGAGGCGAGGAATGCATATAGGATATTGGTGAGAAAGCCAGAAGGAAAGAGACTACTGGGAAGACCAAGGTGTAGGTGGGTGGACAATATTAGAATGGATCTTAGAGAGATAGGATGGGATGGTATGCATTGGATAGATCTGGATCAGGATAGGGACCAGTGGAGGGCTCTTGTGAACACAGTGATGAACCTTCGGGTTCCATAAGATGCTGGGAAATTCTTGAGTAGCTGCAGAATATCTGTCTGGTATGTAGACAGATATCAACGAGGTAGATGTTGATAATAACGAAGAAAATAACAATGTGTTTTTTAAATGTTAAATTTTAGACTGAGTTCAGTGTGGCAGCAACATAAGAGTATACACCTGATGATGGCCGTTAGAGGCCAAAACATGTAGTGTAGAAGAGAGCAAGATCAAAGACATATAATATATATTGTTTGCACTTGGGACGGAGTTTGTATCATTTATCCTAAAAATCAATCCTAAACCCATCTATAGTCACACTCATATGTGTAACAATATTTAACTTGGTAATTTATACAGTTCTCTGTTATGTTAAAATAAAAAAAAAACGTGCTTGACATATAACTGAGACTGACATGACATAGAAAGATAAGTTAGTAAATGAATAAAGTACAAACAAGGTTGTCAAGTGAATAAAACTTTTCAAAGCTGTGTCCAAGAGACTGGCTTCAGTGTTGACTGTGTTGAACATCTGGTTCTAGTGTCACAGGTAATCTTGGTATCAGCCTAACCGTCCACAGTTCATACAGTACATTATGAGGTCTAACATTGCCCTTTACTAATGTCCCACTGCAGAACATAAATTTATAATTTAAACCAGAACACGTTTTTTGTTCAATATGGCTCAGTATTACATCAACAAATCACTCTTATGCCTAAGTCATTCTTACTTCAGTTTGGTTAACATTTCTAAACATCCTTGTGAGACAATATGCAACACACAAATGATGTTTTCCTATAGGCCTTTCCTAAGGAATTTTATTCCCTTGGAAATGATGTGTAGCATGTAGCTATATGCTCTCCCTTTGTGACTTATTTTTTTTACAGACACAAAATAGGTATCATGATAATTTCACGTACACTCATGGCACTCGTGCAAACAGCTTTACCTACAGTAGACACATGGAAGCTTAGCATTTCACCTTCATTTACATAAAAAGGCATGTTCTATGCACATGCACTCACAAAATATTCCATCTTTTGGACCGATTTATATTTGGCCATACTGTGATTGAATGGAGGCTGATGAACTTTCTTCATTACAAACTTCTACAATTTGGGAAATTTAAAGGTGCTGAAAAAACACAATTCACAGTAAAAAAAGTTTATTAAAAAGTTCGATGTAATAATTTAGGCAGCAAACACATACACATACACACATTTTCCAGTTTGACTATATACAAAATACAGTATCACTGTTAACGTTTCAAGAGTCATTGTAATGTACAATAATAACAATCAAAATAAACTAAGGATGAAAGATTCTTTGTGGCAAGTTTTCACTCTATGGAATATCTGAATTAAAAATTTTGTGCAGGTACTCCTCACAGACTGAAATCATACAAATTAAACATTAGCTAGCCCAGATTTGTCCTCCTTTGCCACCCACACAATACTCAAGTGACCTGGAAGCAATTTGTATGAAGGCAAGTGTTAGTAATTGAAATCAGTCTAGATGAGCTGAGAGCATTAAAATATCAGATTTTTCTAAATTGCATGAAGTGAGGAGTACCCATACCTTGTATTAATTCATACTGGGTGATGATTGGAAATATCACTACAGAACAATACCAGAAATACAAGTTACTATGAACACTTCATTGCTGGGGGTGTTGACTAATGTCAGATTAAAGCTCAGTTGTCTCAAGCTTCTTGCTGAGGAGAGGGTTGCTCAGCTTGTCCAGATGCTGATACAGATTTTGATGATACGTTGTACCCATGCGGTTCAGGTCATTCTGCTCATTCACAGCTGCATTATTATGTATCATGTTGGACTGGCTGCAATGAGATGGCAGATGAGTCATGCAAAGAAGGCAAATTTTTAGTACAGAATATTTAAGATAACCTAGATGCTTGTCTATTTACAGAGTTATATGTAATTTCATAACAGTAATCATTTCAACATTATGGACTTAATTTCTCCTCCAGTTATATTGAATGCTGCAATATCAGCCCCCCCCCAAGACACTCCATGGTTAAAACACAAAAAGTAAAAAAGGTAAGATACAACTTGCATTATGAATTTTAACCATAAAATAAATATCACTCCATATGGGAGTGAAATATTGCAGGTATAACCATTTAAAAAATATTAAATTCNACCCTTAAAAATTCCACAACCTTCGCCAGGTTTGAACCCGCGTACCTTGAGTCACGAGGTGGGAATGTTATCCCTAGACTACGGAGGCCGCTTTTAAATTCCCTTAGTGGGAGGTTGGAGTCCGACTGGGTCCACTCGCCATGGCGGCCACTGACTGGCCTATTGTAGCCTGCCCCGGGTGATTATGATGATGGACAATTGGTGGAATGAAGATTGGCTGGGGACCCCGAAGTACTCGGAGAAAACCCGCCCCAGTGCCACTTTGTCCAAATCCCACTTGACCAGACCCGGGATCGAACCCAGGCTGCCGCTGTGGGAAGCCAGCAACCAACCACTTGAGCTAAGGCGTGGCCTCAAGTATAACCATACTGAAACAGCACAGCTGACTGGCATTTATTTTAAAGAACATTACAATGGTTAAGGGGAGACATTAATTTGTGTGTACCTTTAGCAAGCAAATATGAATGAAAAGTATATCAGAAATTTATTACAAGAACATATGGTCCCTTGTTTTTCTTTGGGTGCAATCACATTACAAGTGGATATGTGTGAACTTATATTTCACATGGGGGCTAGCATCTTCATGCAAGCACAAAGTGGTAGTACTGCAAGTGATAATGCATGAACAATTAATCAATGACCATATATCCAGATGAAGATATATACTTGATAAAAACCACTTTTTTGACAATTTTTCTAGCATGAGAATACTGTATGTTGTAGGATTTGAGGTTCTCACAGTGATGGTTATGAAGAGTGCTACCCTCCGGGATATAACGCCATATAGTCCATTGAAAGCTGACCAGTGTGTCAGAGGAACATGTTGCCAATTAAGAAATCAGCACGAAGCAGGTAGCAAGCCTGCACCTCTTAAACTCTGGTTAACTTCCAGTGGACTACATGGCATTATATCCCAGCTGACAGAACTCTGAATTGTGATGATGATGGTAGTCAAGATTTACATATCCTTTCTGTAAATTATTCTTGCATAGAATGAAATATTAATATTTTATGATGACATTTGATGTTTACAGTTAAGTGCTATGGAGGATTCATTCAAGACCATATTTTTCCAACAGAATGGTTAAAAGTAAATATTAAGGTAAGCTGCATAAATTTCATTAATTAAATTACCTACATGCAATTTCTTATTTGCTGAAAATTTGTAAAATAATTTGTCAGTTGCCAGTTTCTTGGGCAACGACTGTGAATAACATTGCAGTTAAGTTCTGTTTGAGCTCCAGTGGTATGAAAAGGTCGCAGGGGAAGGAGCTCATGTTAGTATTAGTGATCTTGACATCTCTTCTACTTCAATAAAAACTTTCCATAATTTCATGTGAACAGACCTTTGCTAGTTAGAGAAATATTCAGAAACTGCAGCAAAGTTATCAAGAACTAATTATCACTAGCTTGCTCCAGAGTTGTCGAAGCTGCCCATCTTGATGTGAAAGATTAGCTCTCTTTCTAGTAATCTATCTTGAGTATTCTTATCACATCATTGTTCAATTCACTGTACAGCATATTTTCGTTTTTGCCTGCAGGTGTTTCTTTTGTCACAGATTTTTTTTTTTAATTTTTGGACTTTTAAAAGTTGTCCTTCCCAAGAGATTTGTTCACTTAGTGGGAAAACTGCCCTTCACTATTGTTTTGTTGAATTTCAGTGCAGATGTAGACATACTATTATAAAGGAATCAAGATCGAACAACAGGTCAGCTCAACATGCATCTAATATTAAAGAAGCATTTAAAGCCTATTTCAACAATGAAGGTAGCATTCAGTTCAATGTACTGTAATTATCATAACTAAGTTATATCTGCTGCTGAAACCCTTACTTGGACATTTAAATGGATTCCAGTCTAAGCCTGTTGATTATGATGTTAACCCATTACATTCGCCAAAGCCCTTTCTTTGAAGACAGATCTCATCAACTCTACAGTCATCATTTGCATGAAAACCCAAAAACAAACCTGTGCAATCAATAAGCGATTTCAAGCAATGATGCCTAATTTTGTACAAATAATTATGAGTACTGTGACCAGCTTGCATGGACGTGCCAGAGTTCACACAGATTTGCTTCCAGTGTGACCGAACCCTAATAAGAAATGTTGCATGTGTGTAGCCATATGGTACAGTCAAAGTATTTACCAGATCCACACTTACTGGCGTGAGCACATTAGTTAAAGCAGTAACACTCTGTACTTCCTTTAAGATGACTGTCTCAGCCTGAAGTTCTAATAAGAGTGTCTTCTCACCTGTTGCAAGAATCTGTATATGTGCATGTCTGTCCGAAAAATGGTTTGGCACCCTGCGGAGTTTGTCTTGCATTTTCAGTAGCAACAGCATTTTCATCTAGAGAATCCCGCTCTGAAGTTTGACTGGAAACGGAAATTTCTTTAATTTGTATTCCTATTTCAGGCTCTATATTCACATCTTTATTGTGGGATGAAAGCTCAGCTCACACTCTCTGAGGTACAGGTGGGGGTTTTTGAGAACAGTGTGCCAAAGAGAGATGAACCAAGCGAGACAATGGAGAAGATTTTGGTCAAGAAACCTCTTGGATAGAAAACACATGGGTAATGTAGGTGCATATGGGGCTAATATTAAAATGGATCTTTAAAAAATGATCTGCAAGATTGTGGATCCTCTGAGAAGTTTTGTGATGAATGTGGCAGATCTTCAAGTTACGTTCCCAAGATCCTGTGCCATGGAATTAAACTGATATGGCAGCTAGTTGCTTGTTTAGTTATATTCACATTCCTTATTGTCAAAAGTACCTGACTGAGTCATCTTCTTTGTACCATTCATTTTCATATGCCTGCATCCATATGGGGTTGGAGCCTTCTACACTATGCATATTTGTGTTGGGCACTCGACCAGTTACTCGATTCAGGTCAGATTCATTTGATCCTATGAAAATCAGAAACACAATTAACACAGCAATAAACAATTAGTAGCTATGTAATTATAAGTGCTTGGAAGGTGCAGACATATGTCATGTGTTTGGGACATCCTAGCCTCAAATCTCACTTTGGAGTCTAGATACTATGAGATTCTTTTTGTGGTTTTCCTCAGTCTCAATAGCCAAATTATAGGATATTACCTTATATCTGAGATCTGTCAGAATTATGTTAAGTGTTAAAGTAGAGCAACGTGTCAATGTGAAATTGCTCGCAAAATTTGGAAAATCTGCTACAGAAACATACACTTTGTTGATGGAAATTTATGGAGATGAACATCTATCTCATACTCAAGTTTTCAAGTGGTTCAAATTATTTAAAGAGGGAAGGGGAGAGATCGAAGACGATCCACTTCCTGGTCAGCCTTGCACGTCAATAAAAGATGCTAACATTGAAAAAGTTGGTGAAATTGTTTGACAAAAATCATTGTCTGAGCATTCGAGGAGTTGCTTAATTAGCCAACATTGATGAAGAAAGTGTTCGACAGATTTCACATGAACATTTTAACATGAAAAAAAGTGTACTCATATACTTTGAGTGTTGAGCAGAAAAGACAAAACTAAAGGTGATTTTGATTTGCTGTAATTACCTACAATGGTTCTGACTGGAAGGCAGGTGTTAATAAGTACTGATTACTGTGTATAGTACTGCATATTTATAGAGTTTTATGTAGCAGATTCTAGTTCATCTGTGGGGTTTACAATAGGCAAGATCTGCTATTACTGACTGTCATTATTATTCATCAATAATTATGTGGTGCAAACACTGCAAAGTGATGCAAGTTACCAAATGCAGTTGCTGTGGCAGCCTTCAACTGACGCTGGTAACGAGCCCTCTGAGACAGACATATTGATACAACAAAGATAAGAAGTAGGCCCAGAAACACAGTTGTCCCCACCAACCACATCATGACTAGGCTCTCCATGTCCCCCGTGAGTGGCAGTGTTTCTGCTGGCTGAGTATCCAGCACATTGAATTCCTGCAATTCAGAACACAAAATCCAACAGTCCAATGAATACATAATGAAACTTCAATTCTATACTCTCAGAATTGACATCTTTTCTGCTTTATTTTGTTTGTGTAAATCAAAAGCGCATAGGAACAATGTTAAATTTTAACTGATTTTACAGTTCCTCAGATTTAGGTTTTAACTGAACTTGCCCTTCAGTTTCTGAAGGCTGAAAATGGAAATCTGACCAATTTTACGTTTACAGAGTTCCTTTTGGAAAGTTCATAGAAATGCTGGTGCTATTTGCTTGTGTCAGTAAAAGAGTTACATCTTTGCATATGAAAGTTTTTTTTGGATCTGAGATGAGTGAGCTCAACCATTCACAGACACAAATATACAGTGAGACAGTGCATCAGTTATTCATCAACTTCAAGAAAACCTGTGTTTCAGTATTGTACAATATTCTCACACAGTCCGGGGTACCCATAAAACTAGTTAGGAACTTCATAACTTGAACTCTTCGTCAAGTATAATTATAATGATCAAAGTCAGTGAGGACAGGAAGAGCAAGGAATGTAGCACAAATTGGGGAGAAGAGGAATGCATAAAGGATTTTGGTGTGAAAGCCAGAAGGAAAGAGACCATGAGGAAGAGCTAGATGTAGGTGGGAGAATAATATTAAAATGGATGTTAGAGGGACATGATAGGGTGGTGTGAACTGGATTGATCTGACTCAGGATAAAGACCAGTGGAGGGCACTTGTGAACATGTTAATGAACTTTTGGGTTCCATAAAAAGTCGGAAAATATCTGAGTAGCTGCACAGCTAGTGGCTTCTCAAGAAGGACTCAGCTCCACTGCATTACTTAGTTAGTTAGACTGTACATGAACATAGAAATACTGCATAGGTAGGACAGCTAGCAGACTATAAAATGTTTTTAGACTTCTGTCATTTGTATTTATTTACAGTTGTAAAAGAAACTTGACATACCTTGAAAAGCTTATCCAGCCGTTCAATATTTTGATCAATTAGGTGAAGTACTCTGGTAACTTCCATTATAGAGTGATCACGACGATCAACAAAATGCAAATAAAGATCTGTTCGGGTCTTGTCTACTGAGCCATCTTGATTCTCATGCACTTTAAATTCATCAACATTGATGATGGCTCCTGTCACATTACCCAGCACTCTGTTAAAAACAAAGTCAAGAATGTATTAAACTAAAAACATCAGAAGAATTGAAGAAAATTGTCAGTATAGCTGTTAGAACCCTTACTTCTTATCTGTGAATTCTCTGGTTTGATTCTTAGACAACAGAACAGCTATACTGCCTCACGATTTTCATGGTTATTCTCAGTCCATGGAGATAAAAGCTGTAGAATCTTAAAACAGGCAATGACCACTTCCTTTTACATCCATTGCAGCTCATTTACAATCATCAGTTATCTCTCACTTGAAGCATTACATTGCAGTTGACACATTATTGTTGAACAAATTACAAACACATATGTATACTAAAATTCTAGCAACATCTCTCTAGAGATTTTTTTCTCTTCTTCATTCCCTCCAAGCAAATTTGAGGAAAATGCCTTGAAATAGCCACAACCACTAACTCTTGTACTATGTATGCAACAGGGTTGTTGTACCTTTTAACTTCTGTCCTAACATAACACCAAATTCACCTTCACATGGTGCATCTCCTTTCCACAATGGATGCTCAACCAGATAACTCCATTTATGTGTAGTAGAGGAATAAAGATGTTAGGTTAGCTGCAAGTTCACTTTAACTGTTTTACATGTTAGCTATCACAAATAGCCTGTGTAAATATGTATGTTGATCACATACCCATCAACTGATCAACTTCCTCCTTCCAGCTTTCCTAGTTCACATATTAAGTTCAATAATGTTATACCCTGAAGAGTTAAGTGTTCCCTGGCTGCAGTAAAGGCAAAGTTGTCCCTGTGTTTAACTAATTAAGCACTACGCCATGAAGATGTATGGGGCACTGAATGTATAGATCCACATTTCCTTGATCTCAGCACTAGTTGGAGGTGAGTGGTCAGCTTCACACCCTGGCTGCTTTACCCCCTCCTCCTGAAAGAGCCCCCAGTACCCACTGGACAGGAGGTTGGGTGGACCCCAGAGCTGGTCTGGATGACATGGAGAAGAGAAACATTTTGACACTACTGGAACTCAAACTCTCCATTATGTAATATCCTCTGTGCTCCATTTGTCTTGAAGCAGAAAATTTCTTAGAACTTGATTCTTCCTTTACTGTTCCATCACATAAAATCTATTTTGAAATAAGTGCTACTTTTGAGATTTTATAGCATCTGCACATAGCCAAAATTTTCAACTGGTGATTTTTGAACTATTTTTAAGTATGGTATTAGATATGTCCTCAAGAATACTTGAAAAGAAGCATCGTAATACACTGTACATACTCTCGGAAAGTGTCTATCCTTTCCCGCACCTCTGGTGGATGTTGTCGAAGTACAAATCTAACACGCTGATCCTCACGCAAAAGATATATGAAAACCCTTGCCATATCCTGGAGACCATCTGTATCATTTGCCAAAACCTGTTAAAAAGAAAAAAGATTACACCTTGAAATTATGTCACTAGAGGTTTTTATTGATGCTTCATGCCTTGAAATAGACTTATGAATTTGCATTTAAGTCTCGATCATAATATTCCATGCCTAAATTATGTTATAACACATACGATACAGAAAAGAACAACAAATATTGCCCTGGCTGTTGACAAAATTGGACAGTGAAATACAGAAAATAGAGGAGCCTATAAAGTAGTAAGTAGGCAACATAATTTGAATATAAACACAGACCAATACTTGGCCAACATTAAATCCGACTGAGAAAAAATAAAAAATGTTTATTATATTTATGTATTAATTTTATGTATTACTTACAGAAAAACCAGACTAGAGATAGCGGTGTACATCACACCAACCGGTTCCTAACACCACTGTCCCATAGGAGATCAAAATTGGAACAGAACATTGTCCATAGACCACTATATATTATAATATGTTTGCAACATAATATTATAACAGAATATCTAAGTGTATCTTATAATTATAAACATTTGTATATAGTAGTTAACATAAAGTTTTTATCTAGACAAAATGTATATAAGAAAAACAACTTTAGCAATTTCAATATATTGACAATAATTGTAGTATTGTAACACACACCTACATAGAAAGCAATTCAATAGTTCGAGAATAGCTAGTAATGTATACCTGCATGATGATGACGTCTATAAGCCAAAACATGTAGGAGGGCACCATCGAAATCAATAAACTCATGCACGATTCATGTGAACAAACCTTTGAATGTTCTGTTGTGATGGATAAAACACATGATTTACAGGTGCCATATTGAAACTACCACAGAGGTGTTGAGTTGTTTACGGTTAAACTTTGACAAGGTAAATAAGTTTTTCTTCTTCTCAAAATGCTTTGAACAAGCAATTTCTTTCTTGGTCACTAGACAGTAAGTGCAGTTGAATTTTGTAATTTCTTAGACTTTTGTCATTCATTTCTGTACTGCAAAATACTACCAACTTTTAGTGTACTCCTAAAAAATGGCATGCTGGAATGCAAGCGAGCTGTAGGGCATGGAAATGTTCAAAAGGGCAAAATGTTCATGACAGAGAGCCCATACACCAGCCATCCAACATCAGAAAGTGAGAACATGATCATTTATGTGTGCGACAAAATTCATGGTGGCAGACAGGCAGGCAGGCAGTCAGGTGTTTTGTTTGGAAGTTATGAAGTATCTAAAGCTGGAGTTTTTGTTATAATCAGCATAAAAATGGACATCAAGATCCTGGATACTACATCATGAGACCACACCAGCTCACTCTGCACTTGCTGAATGTACCGGAAATCATCAAAATTGCAACATGGTAAATGAATAATGGCCCATAGTAACATAAGTGCTTCAGCAGGTGGCAGGAGTACTGGAATCACTGTATTCAGTCAAGAGGAAATAATTTTGAAGGAAATGAATCTGTTTAACTTATATGACTTCCAATTTTTACAACACTAATATCAGTCTCAAAATTCTATGATCCATTCTTATGTGGTCTAAGCTACTGAAAACTACTTTGTTAAGTGAGACATTTCTAAATGATGTTATAACATTAATGGAAGTTATATATTTACCATGAAGTCAAAATATCCTTTCATTCCTTTTTGTGGGTCAAAGTTAAGGAGTATTGCACCTGTTTCCCGATTAACAAGAAATGGTGGTTTCTGGACATTTTCCAATCCTTCAGTGAGAGTTTTCTGAATCCTTCCAATCTGATAGTAGTTAATTACTGCATTCTCTCCGATATCCAGGTCTACTGCCTGCAACCAATTAATATTACCACAACCAAATATCTCAGCTTTGCGTGGTGTATTAGGTCTTGTTGTTCATTTGTACATACTCTTATCAAACAGAACAAAATATCTCTACCATAAACAAGAATGGGAAGGCATACTCTGCAGAACACAGGTATTCCAAATATGTTCCTTGTAATTTTAAATCCTATATTGGCATCACTATTAATTTACTTCAAATACAGAGCAACTGTTGAAAGAGGCCATCAACAACAGAAATGCTGCTATGAATTCAGTCACAGACTGTTCTATTGAATGAATTTCAATATTCACACAGTCATACCATCTTTTAGATTATATTTTTTATATGATCATTATACTTAAAAACGTTTAATATACTTCTCTTACATTTCTAATCTCTCTCTCTCTCTCTCTCTCTTGTTATGTCAAGTATTAGTATCCTTATACCTCCCACTCAGTTCTGTACAGGGTTTCAGCCCTAGTATGTTGGCAGACATCTTCTCTAGCTTGGCACCATTTGAAACCAACAATTACATTAGAGATTATTGGGGTGTGCCCCCTGTCCTTGAGGCTAAGTGTAAGCCTAATTATAAGATAGATAGACAGTGGAGTATGATTCAAAAGATAGGATAAACGGTCTGCCAATGTGGCAACTGAGAAGAGTAGTATGACAGTTTGATAATAGCAATCACCATTCAACCCCTCTTATGGGGATAAACTTCATGCTTATGTACAATGTAGTCACTTTTGGGAAATGTAATTAAATGCAATAATTTTTACTTCAGAAAAGGGGCAATGTCCAACATAACTGTGATGTAACTTTTAGTGTAGACCCTAATCACAAACTTCAACAAAATTTACTTAGTAGTTTTATAAACAGAGAGGAAAACATGTTCTCATTTTATGCACTGTGCTAACTATGCATAAAAGGGCATTCCTTGTGTTGAAATACCTTCCATGCGTCCATCTCTATAACTCTGCAACAAATAAAAATACCTGAATGAACTCCCACTCATAATTGTTTATACTACAAATGAAATGTTTGTACGTACATAGACATGTTGTAAAACATGTACAAATTTTGTATGAAATATAAGTGACTTCATCTGCTATACTGTTGATGGCTGTTAAGTTATAAGATCTTTGGAAACTGCCATTGAGTTAAATTTCGACATGCTGTCATACTCTTTTATCTCATGAATAGTTCTTCATACAAAAGAAACTTTGGCTCAAAAAATTAAGCTGCATCAACTATGATTTTTTGTAATTTATTTATAAATAAAGTGTTCACTTAAAATTCTTTTCAATTTACTGATTTTAACTACACCTGTGTGGAGGTGGGATAGAATATCTCCACCTTAGCCCTATGAGTTGTGGAATGCAAAAAGAGAGAACTTCGTGCCTTGGTGTATAAGTGGTCAACTCTGCCACTGGGGGACATAAATACAGGGACCTGATCCTCCAGTTTGGGGGTTGGATGAAAGGCTGATGACCTTACTCTGTAAAAATAATTATTGTTGTGAAATCCAAAGGCGTGAAAACCAGATGCAGTCTGGTAGAATCTTTAAAAAAGGCTATGGCTCAAGAAGGGCTGTTTCTCCAATGAAGCTGATGATGATGACGACTTATTTACATAGTATGCTTTTTTAGAAATTTATGAGAAGTATTTTGAACACTGTTGTAAAACTCATACCTTCACATGCATGAACTCCATGCCAAAGTCTGCTTCAGTTGTGACTCCACCAGTAAACACACGCTTCACAAAATGTGGAGCATTGTCATTTACGTCATTCACTGTGACTATCACCTTAAGAAGTGTATCATCGCTTGGATCAAAGGTGCTCTGATTTCCCGGTGAGTGAATACAGTCTTCACTGGCTTTAATTAACAATGTATGATTGTTATGAATTTCACGGTCCAACTCTTTAAGAGCCTGAAAGAACACACAGTTTTATTTAGTAAGTTATAAAATAGTGCAACTAAATACCATACATAATAACTTTGCCAGTCATGTTCTTTTGTTGCAGATGTGGTTTCTTGCTTTGCAGGAAGAACACATATTACAAGTGTTTGAAAAGAAAACACTTAAAAAAATATTTGACCTTCAAATGGATGTCAGAAGTAGACAGCTCAATATATCATACCACAACAAATCTTTGTAATTTATACAGGTCACTTTATATTAAGTTAGTGAAATGTAGGATGTTACGATGGGCTGGTCATGTATCTGAAACGGAAAGACAAGACATGTTTACAGAATTCTGGAGGACATGACATGGAAGACCATAAATAAAATAAAAGGATAATATTAAAATGGATGTTGTGTCCACTCATTTGCATGGTTCACTTCCAAACCTACCGAAAAGATTTTAGTTAAATTTGGCATTAGAGGTAAACTAAAAGTTGTGAGAAAAATATATAATTTTGACTGATATTTGTCCTTATTATTTTGAAGCTCAAATAACATCAATTTTGTTGTATTTGATGTTCTGATAGCAGTGACACTGAAGAGTACTATTTTCTGTGATGTGATGCCATGTAGTCCAGTACCAGACTACATAACACATTCCAGAAGGTAGCACTCTTCACCAGTTTTCTTAAATGCAGCCCATATCCAGAAAGTGGCACATACTGTTAAATGAAGATCTCACTCAGATCTACAATTAAATTCTGTCTGTCAATGTGATAAATATTTAATTAAATCAAGAGGAAAATTGTTTTTGACTAATTAGTGTGATATATATATATGTAGTGTGACTGCTACAACAGACTACAGCATAATGACAGATTTATATCATAAATGAATAATAATAGAAGCCAAAGAGGTATGAAAAATATATTTAGAAAATATACGTTCTGTATGACAGCTCAGCTTTCCATTCTGAATCGTAACATGATGTTCAGCAAAAGCCCGAAGTTTTGGAGAAATATTTATATATGGCTTCCATTTTAAGGGTCAAACAGTAAGGCAAGCAAGGAACCAGCAGAAGCAGGTAGCAAGCTCAGTTCTTGCTGATTTTTTGCTTGGCTTACACTTCAATCCTGAAGACAGAGATATGCTCCTCAAGAACACTGGGCTTTCTCTGAACTACACATTGTACAACTCACAAGACTACTATTCATAGTCAGTCACTACACAAACCTCAGAACCAACTTTGCCACTTGTTGTTATAAAGCCTTACCATAATCTCATGTCGAAGTGGTTCAAGGCCAAAGTATTCATTCTCATTACCCCCAACAATGAAATAACATACAGGTGTTGGTGGGTCATCCAGATCATCAACTTCATCTCTGTTTACTGTGTCTATCAGTTTCCGGCGCTCCAGTCCAGGCTCAGAATGTTCTGAAATTAGACACTTTTGTAATGATATTAGGAAGAGTGAAAGAGTAGAGACCAATCGTTTTTCTCCTTGTATATACAGGCATTCTACTGTCTTGAATTCTCCACATGAGTAAATTAGATTAGCAGAGTAAGAAGGTTATCTATGATACCAAGAATGTATGAATGTATGAGGGGTAGGCCTTCTTTGCCCTTGCACCGTGACCTACAGTGGTCTATTGTGCTTTACGATACCAAGAAACACATACAGCCAGCTAGGATAATCAAAGCAAAGATATTATGATGGGCTGGAGATATAGAACTTGAGGAAACAGTAAATGTGTACAGAATTCTTGTGGAAGGACCCATTACAGCAAAAAAGAAAAGAAATATGAGGAGCAAGCCCATGAACAGTTGATCTTAAGAAACTGTATTATGTGGGTGGAAATGAGACTGAATTGCTTTGGGCTCAAAAGTAATAACTGCCACAGAGGCCAGAGGGAAGATCCCTGAAGGAATAATACAGCCCCAAACCAGTCTAGCACAAGTACCGGTATTTGTTAATGGTGTTCCTTTTCCATTCTCTTCTGAGCTCTTTTTATAATACAGCAGTCAATGATTATAAAGGAGTTACATTACAGAGAGCAAGAGTCAGCTGTACTCTCACTACTTTCACAAACTTCCTGTTTCAAATCTGGCACTAATCCTGATAACTTTGTGAGAGTGTATTTGGGTGATGTAACACAAATTAAATGTGGCATAACACTGGCCTGTATACCTTGATTGCTTGAAATAACACATTTATTTACCATCAAATAAATATTGTTTCAGATAAATGTTGTTTAGTTTAAAAGACACATGACATCATATACAATTTGTTTATTTTATTTTACAAATTCAAGATCACAGAGTGCCATTTTGATTACATAGAATGCAACAATATGCACCACAAGTCAATTATCTGAAATATAATCCTGGAATTATAAACTAACAAAATTACGTAAAAGAGATGCTCAAAGTATTTACCATTAAAGTTAGTTCAGAGTTGCAATTACTGGATAACTCACTGCTCATTTACTTGTGGACTCATGGCAGCAAACCTGTCAATAATATTGTGGGAAACTCCTACAGGGCAAGACAGACAACTCACAAAGTGTAGCAACAGCAGGCAATATTTATAAAATACAGCTTGCAGCCTGGCTGTCTGTACACCCACACGAGCGCTATCCAATCAGTGCTCACCGCAGAAGCTCCAACACTCACTGGTTACACAGAAAAACTGAGTTTTTCGACTTTTTCCATAGTCTGGAATTCTAGGTGGTCCAGTGATTGAGATTAGCTCTTTCTAAGGGGCCCAACTGAACAGGTGTCTTCCTTTCTCACCTGAAGATGGAAAAAGTCCAAAAACCCAGTAATTCTGTGTGTCATCCACCATCATCAGAAACCTTTAGAATCTACTCACTGGTTAGCATGCCATCTAGCAGCAAAAGTATAAAGATGCATAGGTCCAACACACTAACATGTAACATCAGGAGAACACTGCAGCAGCTACTCTACTAGCCCAGCACCACGGCCAACTCGGCTGACTCTGCCAGCACTTAGCAGGCCACCAACCAGCCAGTCTCACCACTACAGCAAGAGCCTCACATGACATCCTGCCAGCTCGCACTCATCAGGGTGCAACAAGAGCATTGCCTGACATCCTAGCACTGGCTAGCCCACTACGAGGGCATCGCCCAACATCCAGCAGGTGCACCCAGCTTCACAATACCATTGCCATCGCTAGCACAGGCTAGCCTGCTATGAAGGTAGTTTCTGCCTGGCTACAGAAACGGCCGTTTCTAGGGGCATTTGTGAATAGACCAGAAGCAGAATATGACAGAATGCAGAAGACTAACAAGGAGAAGGAGGGGGAGGAGAAGTGAGTCAACAGTGAATCAGTGTGTTTTTGAGAACTAAGCAGAGCTACACAGAAAGAGATTCTTTATCCAGAAGGAGCTGAACATGTGAACTGTTATAATCAAGTGTAACTGTGATAGTAATGTCAAATAAATCCAGTCATCAAATCTAGAATCCACAATTATTAGTCATGCTACCCTCGATGTATATGTGGGGGATATCTATCACGTTGGTGCAGTGCACATTTCTGGTATTCATTTGCCTGTGACTTGTGAATGTAGCATTATCAGCAAAAAGAGCACTTTGGGAAAAGATCTAATTGGTCTGCAATTGTTACTGTGCTCATTGACAAAACTGGATAAGATTTTGAAAATCATTACAATGCATTTCCTGGTGTAACTATACATGGTAAGGGTGAAATGTATGATATTCAAGAATGCAGTGAACACTTTGTTTCAGGAATTCCAGAATAAATTTCAATTTTTGAAATAGTAAAATGAAGATTATTTACAACTCCACCTAAAACAGAAACTTAGCTGCTTTGTCCATATGAGTTTTACATTGATTGCACTTCCGTGAATTAATATTTCCTGTTTTAAAGAAGTTTTAAATAAGATGACAAGTCATCTGTTGTGACGGTTGAGTCTTTTCGGGATATCTTGCTGCATACATCTATGTGCCCTGACTGAATTTCTTCCGAAGTTCCAAAGGAACATTTCTTCTTCATTTTCATTACTGTCTACTGTGATTCAAAATTCACATGTTTGCATGTTCTCATAATCAGAATGATAACCGCCAAACAGGGTGACTTATTGCTTAGGAAGATAAGTTCATAACACCTTAAACAATTTTCAAATGTTTAATTTCTGTTTCATGTTATTAAGCTCCCTTAATCAAAATGGTACTTTTCAATTAATGAATCTGTCAAATAAAATAAAAGGTGCTATTTAAAAAAGTGATATTGGCCTTGATAGCTTATTAACAAGAAATGTAACGAAGTACAGATGCTGTCACATGTCCCCATTTAGAGTGAATATCTTTATCAAAATTGTTTTTTATGATGCTACACAGAACAGCTACTTCAAGTGACCTAAATAAATAGGATATCCTACATTCTGCACAGTAGAAAGAAACAGAGCTATGCTATCCTCTGCAAAGCAGAAATGCTTTACACACTTACCTAGTGATGGGACAACTTACTAAGGATGTCCTTCATAGAGAACCTCCCTCCCCCAAAATGCAGATGTGCCCTTCTAGGAATATATCATTCCTTGCAAATATGGAACTCATATGCAACTGCACAACTTGCAAGCTTCTCTATAAATTTTAATTGAGTTCCTTCTTATGAATTTCTGTTAATCTTTTACAAAATAAAACTTTATAGTGTCCTATGAAGTGTATTATTGTGGTATTTTATTATACTTCTGAAATTCAAGACTATGTGTTTATGACAGTCTTACCAGTAAAATTAATATTGATCTCATCCTTCAAGAACTGTGGCTGATAGTCATTCACATTTCTGACATATACTGTTAAATCCAAATCAGATGATAAAGGAGTTGGCACGCCAAGATCATATGCTTCCACTCTTATCTGAAAAAGTATAATTAGTATGTATTCAATCTGTAGATCATCATGAATTTGACATACAGTGTGTAACGTAGAGCAGGAGAGGAGACTGTTGGGTGTTGGGTATCATTTCATTTTCTAAGTTTCCAGTATGTTACAGTATTTTTTTAAAACTGTTTTATGTCAGAATATTGTCTATGATTCTTTACTTAGTATCTGATAAGATCGAAGGCATAACAAAAATATTTTTGGAGATATAATGACTTGAAAAAAAAAATCTGATGAAAGTGATGAGTAATATTTGAACTATCTAACATTACAAATCAAAAATAATTCAAGATAGGAATCAGGTAATAATTTTGTGACAACCATTTAATGGATTAATGATATATTATAGCATCTTCATGACTGCCCCATGCATCTAGAAAATTGAAAATAAAGAATTTAGCTCTTTGAGTGCCAAGCCATGCCACAGAACTACCTGTTCAACATGCCAAGGCTGATGATGGTAAATGCAATTGGGGGTGGGGGACCATTATTCAAATGACTTTAAAACAGTAATGGGAATATATCAAGTGACAGTACATCCTTTCCTCTAAAACTGGTCTAAATGAGCTCTGCTCTGTTGTTTGCTGTTTGTTTGGCCTACTCTTTAACCCTGAAGATGGAGGCAGTATAATCCTTTGAAATGTCAGTAGACATCTATGAGACTACACAACAGAACACCTCACTGTTCTTATCTGTTCCCAGAACCATACCTCTCTACAGAGAGATATCACATATGAATTCAGCTGCCCCTCTGTCTCCGTATGTTCCGCGTGGCACAAGCTCTTGTACATGATACAATGCACTCATTTCTGTCTTTGCATATCAGAGAATTTTCCTTTACAGTACCAACCACTGACATCTTGATTCTGATTACCATTTTCTTGTTTGCTTATTTAGTACCTCCTCTTTTACTTCAGAACCCCTTTGTTTTCTGTTAGCCATTCTGAAATGTCTGCTTCTTCAGTAATATTTCTAGTATTTACTTATGTGGTGAGCATATTATCAGTCAACTGAATATTTTGGCCAGCCTCAATCTGATTTTGTCTTTTTGAAAACTGGCATAGGTAATACAAAATCATTTTGTTTCATCTTAGGATTTTGAAGTAGAATCTGAAGTTGACATATGGAAAGAACTGGCAGTGACTTCATATCTGAAAGTGCAAGTTGTGAATGTGTGTGCTGTATTTCTCTTTGTGAGAATAGGGCTGCTTTATTCTGCTGCTGCTGCTGCTGCTTCTTCAGCTACATCTAAATTAAAAATTTCAAAAACATTCTTATTCATGGGATAAAATCTTGCAGCCCTAAAGCCACTTGTTACAACTTTTCCAGATCAGCTTAGCCAATGAGTTTGGATATTTCAAAATGCCCTACCTCAGCCAAAGCATTTCCTTCATTTATTTCTATCAGGGAATCTTTGTACTTACTCCACCAACTACAAATGCAATTCAGAGCAATTATAGCCTGCTAAAATTATGAAAAATTAACGTCTTTCAAATTCAGAGCATTGAAATGCTTGAAAAAGTTACCATCTGCAAAATTATAAAATTTACCTAAACACAAACAGCTTACATCACAAAAGAAAATTAGAGTCTATTTATCTTATCCTGCTTATTTTGAAGCAAATCCTTTTTAAAGATTGATGTCCCCCCCACCAATTTCATCTCAAATCTAGTTTAAACCAGACACAATTTTTCTATCTTAAATACTGCAGATTTCTTACAGCACAGGATGCCTGGCAACCTTACATAAATGCTTCTGTTTGGCATGCTCTCTGTACTGTATATTGTATATCTTTCTTCACCTGAACACTCAAACTAGGCATTAGTCTCCTAATTGAATTGAATTGAATTGAATTTATTTACATTCTATAAATCATAAGCAGGTTAGTACCTTTGGATACAGAACAAGTCAAAAGGTTACATACATAAGTACAGGCAATTTTAGCTTAAAAATTAATATAACTTAATTTTACATCATTCTCTATTTACATTGAAGTATTCATCTAAAGAGTAGAAGGAATGAGCATGTAGATAATTCTTTAACTCTGATTTAAACTTTTTAGTATCATTGCCCAAGTTTTTAATACTTTGTGGCAGATTGTTGAACACTTTTATGCCAGTAAAGTAGACTCCTTTTTGATATACTGATAAAGTTGATGAGGGTAGGTGGAAGTTATATTTTTGTCTAGTATTCATGTTATAGACATCAGAATTTAATTTGAATTTATCTTTGTTGTAAACAACAAATAAGAGAAGCGATAATATGTATTGCGATTGAAGAGGTAGAATTTTTAATTTCTTAAATAATTCTCTACATGAATCTCTACTTCTACATCCTGTAATGATTCTAATTATATTCTTTTGTATTTTAAAAATTATTACACTATGTGAAGAGTTCCCCCAAAATATTAATCCATAGTTCATAATAGAATGAAAGTAGGCATGGTAAACCATCTTCAATGTTTCCTGTGACATAAAAGGCTTAATTGATCTCATCGCATAGCAAGCTGCATTTAATTTAGGTATAATTTGTTCAATATGTATTTTCCAAGACAGTGTACTGTCTACATGTATTCCAAGGAATTTTGTATCAAGTACTTTACAGATTAATTTGTTGGCATAACTGATGTCCAGATCAATTTGGTGGTTGTTTTTAGTTGTGAATGATATGTAATGGGTTTTATCAAAATTTAATGAGAGTAAATTGGCTTCGAACCATCTGTTTAAGGCTTCAAATACAATATTTATGTCATTTTTAAAGTTGTCAAATTTAGAGTTCTTAAATATTATACTAGTGTCATCTGCATATAGAATTGGTTTAGATTTATTGTTGATGGTTTTAGATAGATCATTTATGTAGAGAAGAAAAAGTAAGGGACCTAAAATCCTTATTCATTATCCTTTATTCATCTTCTTATTTTTTATGCTCCATCAACAAGAAATGTATACTTAATTTCACCAGTCTATTGTTCAGTGTTTCTATGTTCAGATCTTGTCTAATATCATGGTTTCTGGCTGTGCTCTCTACTTTCTACTTCTCTTTTGAAATGTCATCTCTACATCTTTATAGCTTTCCTTCTTTTACACATATATAGTCCATGTTCAGGCTTTTATTCCATCATCAAAATAGGAAAATAATTTGTTTTATATAACATAAGTTATACATTTTCTAGTATTTTTCAGTTTCAAATGATACTGTTACATGTACATTCATTGCTAGGTGACAGGTTGTAAACAAGTTCCCATGAAGAAAGATTCTTGGTAAACAGTCCATTATTAGGTCATGCGACAATGGGACAGATGTTCATAGCTTGTTGCTAGGCAACAATCAGTGCAACAATGGACTGGTGACACAGCTATCATGTGACTTGTTTTCAATGTGGTCCATGCCATGCCCAGTGCTAAGCAACATAACTGTAAACACGTCTATAATAATAGGTGTTTTCTATGGCGTCCATACTGAAGGTTTATAGGGGACAGTGAAAGTCCTTTGCAGCCAGTCATGACTGGCTGCACCTGTCACAGAAAAGAGTCCAGGAGGGTTCAGCAGTTGAGAGTACATGGATGAGAATGGAGCATGTCATTAGTGAACTATGAAAGATTAAATGAGTACAGATTAGGACAGAGCAGTACAGAGTGATTGAAGACAAAATAACAAAAAGACTTCATAGCAATTTGAAGCGCTAATTTCTGTGTTGAGATCTGTTGTCAGGAGATGACTAGTAAAGGTGGAGAATCCTAGTGTGTGCAATGGTGAATGGTAAATTGTGCAAATCAGCGATAGCACTGCATTAATTGTAATTAAGAGAGAGAGTGTAACCCAAGTGCTAATAAATCCAATCATCAAAACTAGAACCAGTTATTTTCATCCCGCATACCACCTACATGTAACAATATCTTGTAAGAGGCTTGACTGAATAAATATGGAGGCATTATGTTCCTGTGAAACACTGTAGAACTTGTTCTAGACCCATACAATTCACATCCTAGAATATACTCTTCACAGTCATGCTGGGAGAACCAGAAATCTAAAATAAGTTAGGTGGTTTGGAACATGAGACATGAAGATGGACAGTCAAGATAGCCATGATATTCCTGGTATACCCAGTGAAAAATATGCTTGAAAGGGAGATACTTTCATATTGAAATAGCCCATGCCTGCACTGCTTAAAATTGTATCTCAGTGTGAATGTTCATTGTCATTAACTGACTTTATGGAGCTATAATTATCATGTGTTTTTCATTGTTTTCTTTCTCATGAATTGAAATCTCAGCTATAAGAATGATGAGATCACACATTTACACAAACTGGTATCATCAGACGGCCATAGCAACAGTAGTACGGTAATGATGTCCCAATGCTTAATTAAGCACTATACCATGAAGTCATGACAAGGAGTCCAACACATTCTTAACCTGAGCACTAGATGGAAGTGAGTGGTAAGCTTTACTTCCTGGCTTCTTTGTCCCAAGATAAAGAGCTACTGGTACCCACTGGATAGGAGGTTGTGTGGGCCTCAGAACCATTCTGAATGTGTTGACAAAGAGAAAAATCCCTTCCCTTTCCAATAATGAAATCCTGGTCCTTCAGTCCACAGTCACATACTGACAACTATCCTGGCTCCAAGCAATAGTAGTGCCTTCTCAAATACAACACTGCATATATTACTGTACCTCATAAATCTTCTGCTTCTTCCTATCAAGTTGTTTCTTGAGTTGAATAACACCTGTCACTTCATCAATGGAAAATGTCTGCCAGTTGCCCACCAGGTCCTGCTTCAATCTGTAGCGGACAGCTCCATTGGGTCCAATGTCATCATCTATGGCCTGCACCTGGATCACTGTGCTCCCTAATGTTGCATTCTACAAAGAGAAACCAACATAAGTATATCAATAATTCTTTAAATGTTTGTGACAGTGACTGATTCAATACAATGCGTATGTTAGGACACTGTTCACTGGATGAAATATAAAGAATGCCTCATTATTAAAGCAAGTGTCATGTCACTTCAAACAAGACCAAGAGTAACATTGAACGTGCAGAAGAAAGTGACAGGCAGCCAGTTGTTTGTACAACTCACCGCCTGTCACTTCTCACACCCTCGAACCCACCCCCTTGTCTGAAATTTTTCTTCTGCGCATTCAAGTTTACTCTTGGCCTTGTTCAAAGTTACGTGACACTTGCTTTACATGCCATATTTTACAGGACAGTATCTGGAGATCAAACCATTTAAAATAGTTCATATTAATATGTACCCTGAAGGACTTCCTTAAAAAGTTATAACCATTAGAAAATGTCACCTGCCATCAGATTCTAAGAAAAGTAATTCTGAGAGCATGTATCTGTGTCATATGCTGTTCATAGAGGTCAGTTTGATTCTGAACTTTGTGTTGTGGTCTACAGCACCTGACAGTCTTACTCTTAATATGCAGTAATGCAATGTAGACAAATAAACACTAACTCATATTAAATTTTGAATCAGTCTGAAGCAATGTAAAATTGAGAAAGCACATTACATACTGATCCAGCAAGGAAAATTGCATTCATTACAGAATTAACAGACTTCCACCTTCTGCTAAGAGAGTGTGCTGGAAATGCTACAAATGCTGTTAGAAGATGCAAAGAAAAAATGCAATAGTCAAAGAGTACCACTGTTTCTGTTAACCATTAACTCATCTGCATGGAATTTGATGGGATGTTTGACATTTGCATTCTTTATGTAATGTATGGGTAGAAAAGCAGATCCTTGAGGTCAGCGAAAGACAGTCCTCTGCTGATTATTATGCCTTCGAACACTTCCTGTATTGCGACCATGGATGCATTAGTCGTATGTGCTGTAGTGCTGTCTTGCTGAAAGTACCCATATTGTCTTTCTTCAGCAGTCAGCTGTTTGAAGAATGGATTCAGTATATCATTAACGCAGAGGTCAGAGTTCACGGTTTTGTGGAAAAAATAAGGGGCCAATGATTTTCCGCAGACTTACATCACACCACACCCCCACCTTTTCACTATGTAATGGCACTTGCTGTATAGTGTGAGGATTTTCATTGCTCCATATTCTTACATTCTGTGCACTGACATGGCCACTAACATAAAACCATGCCTCATCAGTCATGAACAGAAGCTGTGGACCCACGATCCATCGTGAACATTTTGCAGCAGCCAGTTGCAAAAACGAATTCTTGCTGCAGAATCTGGTTCTTTCAGCTCATGCACAATTATGCATAGAAATACCTCAGAAAATGCAGTTTTACAGTGTACAGTAACTTGCGACTTGGAGTATGAAATGTGCTATGTGTTTTTATCTATATTGAAATACCTGTGTTAACTCTTTAAATTACACTGATTAATATATTTCACTTGCTTTAACATTATACAAACTGCATTTTACTCACACAACATATTTATGTGTTTTTATGATTCTCAGAATAAACCAGTTGTGACCCTAAAGAGTATTAAATGGTTGGTCTTTGTAATGGAGACACAGTGTGTTTCCTGTCAGGTAGGAACTGAATTCTTATACTTGGTGAAATTCATGCTTCAGACTATTAAACTGAAATCTGATTGGAATCCGAAACACATACAAACATAAACAGGCAAACAAACACACTAATAAATACACATATACACAAATACATTCAGGTCCCTTTGCATTCTATCATAAGGAGATATTTCTCTAAATGTCAGAAGCATGTCAAGGAACCCTTTTGTAACATGATGCCGAAATGCTGATATTTACATATTCTGGTTGCTATTAATTGTTTCATTATCACTTTCCAAGACCCTAGATATACAGAATAGTCATGCTTGCACTGTTGTAATCTGAAACATGATTACAGTAATAATAATGATTTCTACATTCTGCAGCTTTGATAAGATGCTAGACTTTGTTCTTGGACATGAAATGTAGTTGTAGATACAAAGGTTTATCAATTATTTGTCACAGGCATTATCCATCAGCTTGGTATTACACAGGGATGATTTTTACTCACTTGATGAGCTCATGCCTATGCACTTCACAGTGGCCAGTGTGCTGCCTGCCACGAGGCACATATGAATTTTGCGGATGAATCAGCCAGTAACGTTTCAAATGAAGGGAAATAATTAACTTGTAGATAGTTTTACAGACTTATGTTTCACAATGAGTAGTGTGATTCATGTTAGCAAGTTTGGTTATGATTTACCAGCAGTGGGCAGCCATTATCGGCTCCATTAGCCATGTTCTCAGTTTCAGTTAGTGAGCAATGTTGTACACCACGGTGCAGTATACTTAGTGCAACGTGTATTTCTGTATGTCACCCATGTGAAATACAGATCTGCTAGAAAGTGTCAGAAATTTTTGACATTAATTTTGTGATGAAAGAGTTCCCATCAGACAAACAATTCATAATTTGGTGAATAAACTTAGAACAATGGGACTCTTAATAGACAAGAAACAAAAACATGAGTGTTGAGTGCTTACTGAGGAGAAGTTAGATGACATAGGGGCCAGACTTGAACATACAACTAGAAAATCACTGAAACATCTAGCTGACTGGAGTGTCAAAGTCTAGTGCAAGAAGGAACGTTGTAAAGTAAGTAAAGGTATCCCTGTAACAGGCCGTGGAGGCCCACAGGGTTGTGAGATGTTGAGGTTCCCACATTTTCTAGACAGTCATCTCATAGATGGTGGTAAGGTTGTCAGCCTTACGTGCCAGCTGCCCTTGACCCCCAAGAATATTCCTGGTACTCATTTCTGTTAGAGGCTGAGTCGACCCCAGGGCCACAGTGCAGCTGGAAGGATTAGGTAAATTGAAAAAATCCACCTCATCTGGATTCGATACCACAACCTTCCAGCTTGTAGCATAGTGCCTCAACCATTTACACTCCCACATGCCCTGAAGGAATGTTGTACCTATGTTTTAACAAAACAATTAATTGCAAAAAATACCTATGTGTAGAGAGGACGGCATTTTCGACAACTCCGAGCTGAGTATTGTTACTACTTCATTCCAAATGCTATCAGCCATCAGGCATGCTGATTCATTGGCAAAATTTGCATGTGCCTTGCACCCGGTGGTGCACCGGTCGCCGTGAAACTGAGTAAAAATCCCCCCTGTACTAACACACAATATTTTGGATGGTGATTGTGCTTCTGTTTTTAGGAAAAATTAGGAGCCAAATCTAATGAGCCCATTCGAGTTTGATACTGTTAATCATTACTAGTCCTCCTTTTTGCAGGAAGAAGGAAGGAGATCAGCTGTTGAAACACTTATTTTTTTAGTATAAAACCTACATAATGGGTAAACTGATTCATTTGTCTTTATCAATAACATTCAGAAAATAATGTACAATCATATTTAAGAATTATTTTGTAGCTACTTACTATGACCGAAGTAGCTTGCAAGTACAATTTAATTGATTCTTTTCCTATTTAATGACCTGACCTAATCAATGATGGCACTTCATTTGATGTTTCTATCATTATTCTAACGTACGAGTATTTCTCCACTATAAAGGTTAAATGCTTCACTCACTGAAAAACAGCAATTAGACTGCAATGACAGGGATAGCAGACACCAATAATATTTTATGTGCAAAGCTTAAAGGGATTTATACAATCTCATAACATCATACCACAAACCTCTGGCATTCTGATGGTTGTGTTGTGCTGAGGACTGATGAAGCGGGGTGTGTTATCATTGAAATCAGTAACACAGATGGAGACCGGTGTGGTGACAGAGTTTGATGGAATACCTAGATCCTGTGCCTGTATTAAGAGTGTATAGTTGCCATATAACCCTTTCAATGGCTGTGCTGTCATGATCCGTGCAGCAGAGAAATCTATACTCTCTACTGTGAATAATTCTGTACAAAGACAAGAATTAGATATCAGCTAAACCACATAGAAGCAAACAGTTGACACATTTACGTGTACAATTCAAAACTGATTAACAAGGTTACAGTCTTTGTCTGCTTTATAAATGTATTGTCTGAACTATAGAATTTTATATTATTTCAAACAGTTATAAACTATGGGAGATTTGAAGTTTTCATTGTAGTGATATTAAGACTGTTGTCTTATGGTAAAGCAACATCATGTAGATTGCTTCTACCCTGAATATTGGAACTGTAGGTTCCTATAGAAGCTGGTACCCATCTATGAGACTGCACAGCGTCATGTTCCAGGAAACCAGTTTTAACACAGCAACTCCTCATAATGAAGATGTGCACTTAGAGCTATCAAATTTTCAAACTTCAAAAAATGCCCATAATGACAAGAAGGCACTTATTTTAATTCAATTTAAATTCATCACAAACTATACTATTTCTATCCACATTTATTTCCTCCTTCTCCTTTTCACTTTCATAACATGTTTCGGCCATAGATGGCCATAATCAGCTGTTAAATTCAGAAATATTGACCTTACTGAAAATGTTTATGAACCTGCATGGCATATAAAAGAATAAACTGTACCTGGTAGTCAAATAATTACTGGAACGTATTCTACAAACAAGATATGGTAGTGTCAGCAAGTGTATAGTGGTAACAATTTGAATGATTAATACAAGTAAAATAAGTTATAAAATATCAAAGTACTCCATAACAGAAGACGAGGAATACAGTACTAACTGAACTACAATGCAACAGGAAGCTTAATACAGAATTATATGCAACAGTGACACAAAGTAATTAATTAAGCACCATGTATGAATATGTATGGTGGAATTCAGACACAGCTCCAGCTCTCCTAACTTCAGCACTAAATGTGTGTGAATAGTCAGCTTCCAGCCCGGAGTGCTTTACTCCAGGTGAAAGAGCCCTCAGTACCCCTTGTATGGGAGGCTGGGTTGGCACCAGAGCTGGTCTGGATATTATGGCATAGAGAAAAATCTCTTGTCCATACTGGGAATTGAACCACCACAAATCAGCCATCCAGCCCATAGCACAGCCACTATACCAAGTGCATGAATTGTAAATATAAGGTGCTAAACTATAATGCACATATACATTTTAACAAAACATTCCTAAAAAGCAGTTAGCATGAACATTTGCACAAATAAAAGTACAGAACAAGGCAGTTTTCACAGATCCACTATCAATCATAAAAAATAATAGCAACAAAGAACAGCATTTAGAAACACCACAACATGAAATTTGAACTCCACCCATAATGACAAGAAGGGGCTAATTCTGACTTTAATTTTAATCCAATTTAAACTGAGAAATGTTGACCTTACTGACAACTGTTATAGAGTACCAACTTACACACTGAATAAATGTATCTGATGATGGTGAATTAATGACCAGAACATGTACGAACCAAACATTTTGATGTCAAGAAGCATACAGTGTTAAACCGTGAATGATTAATGAAATCTCACAGAGTATGAAATGTCATTACAATGTTGCATAAAGTAGGACAGTGAATACAATATTAATTGCATTTAATGTTATTTAAATGCCATGTGACAGTTGGAAACATATTCCTTTTCCAGTTACATCATCTTGACCATGCCATTTCTTCCTTCCATAATATGTTCTGATGATTACAACAGTACAGCACTATAGCATTAGTGTGTACAACTTATGTTGTCTAACACACATTTTGCATGTCTGAGAGCAATAAGAATGGTTCCGAAAGTCATAGAAGATTTTTATGTGTGCCTTGTTAGTAGTAAGAGACAAGGAGCAAGTAAAATACTGTGTGCTATAATGAAAGTACTGAAACTGCTTTCCCAGTTCTCAGCATTTATCTCAAACAAAACAATAAAAGGCAGACCATAAATTCAATACCTGATGTGGTAAAGGAAGCTGTGGGGTTTAATGTAACACTAGATGGGGACCTGGCATGGACATACTAGTCTGAATGGTGTGATATCAGTGAGAAGCACAGACAGACACAGGAAGAGCAATAACAAAATACTGCAAAAGCTACACTAATCTTAAAAGACAATAGGGAAAATTTAAAACTGCATAAAGATAGTCAAGCCTCTAAGAAAAATTGTGCTGGTGTAAATAGTGCACTGGAAGCAAATGATGCAGTATCAGAATGCTTAGTCAAAACTCTTCACGTTAGATACATACATTCACAACTAATGTTCAGTTATTTATGTGACCCAGAGCTGCAATGGAAATGCTGAGTCCAAAAGAGTTACAAGCATTATTTGGAATAATGGTCCAAAGACTGTATGTAAGATATAAACCACTCTTGTGGGTGACTATTATCTGGTTTGTCTTGCAGTGAAGTGAATGCTGGCTAAGTGAGAAAGATGCAATAGTTGGAAATCAGACCCCAGAACAATACACTAAGTGTATGAATCTTGACATCCATTTCTCCACAATTTAGTTTCTTGCAGACATGAAACACTTTTCTCAGAAATTACATATCACAGGAACATGGAACTTTCATCGGCTGTTTTACTGTTATTTGTGTGGATACTTCCTTTTACATCTCAAGCACACTGGAAGGTTTCAAATACTCTTCTTCTGAAATTGTGATAACTGTTTTTCTTTCAGAGAGCATTATGGAAAACTGTATTTTTTCTTCAGAGACCATTACAAAAAAACGTTTACAGGTAAATCACAAAAAAGAAGTCAGTGGACATAGACATCGTTAAATATGTTCACTCTTCAGTAACTGTGGAAATTCTAGCCTTTTTTTTTATTTTGAGAAAATGCATCTTGGTTTGATATAATTAACTTCATGGCTCATAACCTCCTCTTAAAAATTAGCTTATGTACAACAGCAAAGAAATGCATGCCTTTCATAAATGAAGTACTACAGTTCGTGAATATATGTAATGTGAATGCCACGAACAGCGAGAAAATCTAAGATGTGCTTTCAATTAGCTCTGTTGCATATATTCATGAGTGACATATCAGTCAGACTAGCAGTATTTCTCAGTTTATATTGATTCTGATGGGCTTAGATTTACTACACTGAACTACCTTATGAGTTAGTTCCACTCAACAAACCAGAGCTTCCTTAAATAAGCATAAAATAACTGAAGTATAAAACATACATACCCAAATCATTACCACCAACTATTGAGAATAACATTCTGCCATTTGGTGTGTTAGGGTCATCTGCATCTGAAGCTTTCACAGTTGTAACTGTGTCATGTAAATCGTGGAATTCAGTGATGGTCACACAACCATAGATTGGTTCAAACACAGGGGCTTCATCATTCACGTCCACTATGTTCACGCTGAAGAAAAGAAATATTCAACCTCTATTATTTAATAGATTCTTGAACCAGTTTATAACCTACACTTCTGCATGAAGACAGAATGCCTTACTGTGATGTGACAGTAATGTTAAATAGAACACACTCTTATGCACTGTGATCAACATACCACAAAAAAAAAATACTGGAAATATATTGTGCTATAGTGACAGAAATCTTGAATATCAGAGCCCAAGGAGGCAGCCATTGCTAGTTAATGGCTAGTAAATACATGGGTGCATAAAAAAACACATGGGCTCTCAAGAGGCAACACCCCACTTATATGTCACATAACAACAGAGAAGTTGTTGGAGGTGGTATTTAATGACCACCTCCTTGGACGACTGAAATCTATGACCATGTAGCTTTGCTTTCAAGCGATGAAGGAGAAAGAAATCACATGGTGCTAGATCAGGTGAGTGCGGAGGGTGGGTAAAACCGGTGCCCTGTTGCCTTGCCAGTTCCTCTTGGTCAAGAAGAGAGCGATGTGCAGGGGCGTTGTCATGTAGCAACAGCCAACTGTTCATACGCCAAACGTTTCGCTAAGGGATTTGCCTACTTTTGGGCAGAACTTGATGTTTGCCCATTGTTCAAATTGCCACATTTTTTATTTCCGCCACTTGCGTTTAACTGCAGTTCACAATATAGGCTGTAGTTCTGCTTACATTGTTTGCACATAACTGCCTCTTGCTGTGATGAGAGAGGAACTGACAGGGCATCAGATTGTGCCTCAACTTATCCACTGTAGTGCACTGCAATAATGCTTTGCAGCCAGTCCACGATCTTATTGACTGTGGCAGTATAAATGTTACTCAGTATAGTGCAATGATAAAGGATGCAGAGAGTCCATAGTGACCTGGACACTGTGACAGTGGAGATATACGAGTACTCATGCTGAAACCATGATGCAACAAATGTAGCACCTACCCAGATCCACCCCTCCATTGTCAAAGAGTAGACCCCATTTCAAAACATGTACATATCTAGGAGAGAATAAAAATCTTCTTTATGCATCTCAAGGAGACTGAAGCCAAGAATGACTGTGCTGGTAAAGATCAGCAGCCATTTAATCAACTGACTGAAATCAGATAGTATATCCTACACAGAAGACTGACCCTCCCCATCAAAAAGAGGCCACTTTTCTGAAAATATACATGTCTAGGACAGAGCAAAAATCTTGGTCATTAATCTTGAATGACTGTGCTGGCAAAGGCCAGGAACAGTAGAACCAACCAACTGAAGTTGCAGTCAGTGATGAGCATAGATAGTGATGAGTTAGCCGAAAGACAGTCACCAGCTAGTGACAACTAATGAAGAGAATAACAGCGCTCACACCAGGTCTCCATTGAGCTGAGACCATGCTGGAGTTTTCTAACAATTAAACCCTCCTTGCGATTTGTTGCATACAGACAGGTGTCATCTGCAAAGAGGGCCAGGTGAACACCATGTGTTTGAGGGGCATCTTTATGTACAAATTGAAAAGAGTAGGGGAAAGGACCGAACCTTGTGGCACTCCTGCTTGCATTTCCCTTGGCACTGATATTTCACCTTTGACTGAAACCCTGAGTGCCCATTAAGCCATGAATGGAATCCTCATGCTCACACCTTAAACACTATCCTTTCCCCATCCACACATCACTCCTGATACCTCCAACATGGTTTTAAGATCATGCGACGCTCAACTTTGGACAAGAAAAGAGTGGAAGGAAGAAGACAAAATAAAATGGAAAATGACATCCTCAATGTGGTCCAGTGTCAAGAGCGACTACCACGCCAGATAAGATAAGAGGGCAGCTAAAATGTCACTTAGAAACAATGAGTAGCTGTGTGGCGACTTCAGGACTTTTCAGACGCAAAGTTCACAGAAATTAACTTATCACTCCGATACAACCATGTTTCAGAATAATTATGCCTTGAAAAATTAATTACGTACTTCTACGATATTGTGACATGTTGTGCTATGCAGGACACCCCTTCCCCCCCCCCTTGCCAGCAGTGACGTAACGCCATCGGAGCGCTGTCGTTACAAGGGTAATAGGCAAGTCAACACTCCTTCCCCTACCCCACCAGCGGTGACGTGGCCAAGGGATGCCGCGGTTGCTATGCAGCCATAAACAACTCCCAACAGCGTTGCCAGTAACACCTGTAAACACGGAGCCAGACAACAGTGGTGCCTATTACGTAACTGTTTTCCCATTGTCCGGCTGAGGGTTTATAAGGGAACTACACAGACGCCGAAGACAGTTCTCAAGGCAGCAGTTACAGTTACGAGTTAGCCAGGCAGTCAACCAGTCAGTTGTAGTCTAACATTTGCAGTCTAGTAATTGTAATACTGCAGATAGCAGTAATTCTGAATCTGTCAATTGTGTGATTGTAAGAGCGAATGTGAAATAAAATTCGCTATATCCAATAAGGCGTGAACTTATTTGTCGCGTTATACACCCAACACATTACAATATGATCTAGGAATGTTCACTGTGAAAGTGAACCAACATTTACTGAGCAAACCATTACTTCAAGTTTGTGTATATGAAGGTAACAAATTAAAGTTAAAATCTGTAGTTTCTTATAATTTGTTTTGTTTTAAACATGTGTTCTTATTCCTACTTTAATTGCAACCCATTACACCTGAATTCTAATTATTTTACTGGCAATAACAGAGCTACCTACCTGCATTATCTCTACATTTTACCATTACGCTCAAATCTCCAACAAGATTAAATGTGGAAGATGGGCAACCAAAATTTAAAAGCAATTTATGGCTGGAAGGAGAATTACAATTTTACTATCATAATTGAAATGCATATATGTACTTACCCAATTTGTTTGAAAGCATTCCTGCTTTCTCCACTGGCATATCCAAACTGGTAATTATCCCATGCTTCAATAATAAGCATGTACGTGCTCTGTTCTTCGCGATTTAGTTTGTCAGACACATTCAAAACCCCAGTTTTGGAGTTGATTTGGAATTTTCCCTTAAAAAAAGAAGGTAATGCAATACAACTAAATTTGTAAAGTTGGTATTTTTTATCATATAAGATATATTTGATCAAGTTTATTAATTACCTGAGAAGACATGCGATCCAATAAGTAGGTGACTCTTCCAAAATCACCTGAGTCAGCATCCTTTGCTTCAATGGTTGCGATTTCAGTTCCTGCATGTACAATGCAAAGAAGAAATAACAATAAATCTGCAAGAGTATGAAGTGATCATAACTTTTGCAAAGAAGCTGGAAAATTTTGATTCGTTTTATCCTGGTCCATTACACTAACATTATAAAAGGTTAATTAATTCTGTCCAGTGTGACTGATGAAGTTCTTTTTTCTTCCTTTTTAATATTTTATGCTTAACATGTTTCAGTCTTATAGACCATCTTCAGAAGGATATCAATACAATTAGAAACCAATATTACAATATGTTTTATGAATATTAATATATACATACAATGTTATCATAATATAATGAGTACAAAATCTAATGTTTTTAACAACAACAGCGGCTTGTACTAATATGTTAAAATATTTATAAATTACAATTAGTATGTTTAAGAAGATTTTGTTAAAAATCTTAAACCAAATTGGTAAAAGTAAAGCTATCTCTGTACCAGCCCATGAAGGCCCATAGGGTTGTGAGACATTGAGGGTCCCGTGTCCTTTTTATTTCTTCTCTTTGAAGGAAGCCAAGTGTCTACCACCTTGTGGTTCTGTTGTTTGAAGAATAGAATTCTTTAGTGTCATCCTGCTGATGTTCGAGGCACACCTTGGTAACAGCCTAATAAACACATGTCTGCAGCAATGGAAATGCGCACAACGATAGATCCTCTCACCCTCCTGACTCGACTTCTCTCACTGACTCCTCATTCTGGTCTCTCTCCAGCCCTAACTGCAACGGCTAGCTGGTCCTGCTTATAACATCTGGGCAACAACCACATAAAAAGCATCGTTTGTCTGTGGCAATGCAACTGTTGCTTAGCAATGGCATGATGTATTCCACTGCTGCGCAGGTCACTGCCTAGAAATGGCCGCCTGTCATGACTCCACATTTCTTGTTTTAAGCGAATATGCTAAATACCATAAACAAGTAACACTGACGTTATTTTAATGTTTATTTACTATTAGGACATAAAAATTGTGGGATTTTCCTGGGACTAGCAACTCACTTGATGGTTTTAATAAGTAATGTGACTGGAATATCATTTTCAATTCATGAATTTTCACCTTATGGACAGTCTCCATGGAATGAATCACCTTTGTAAGTCAAGGCAAACCTGTGTAGATTCATACAGAAGTATAAAGAAAAAGCACATATGCATTGTGCTATGTGAATCCTTTTTGAAAGGATGGTAGTCACTCAGCTAGTCATGAAATTACTTTAAATTAATCCAGTCTATAATCCATGTTCTATTTCTCTTCTACCTACCTTGCAAACTATACCCAGTGTTTTTAGCGGCCTCTGTAGTCTAGGGGTAACGTTCCCACTTCGTGACTCAAGGTACGCGGGTTCAAACCCGGCAGAGGTCATGGAATTTTTAAGGACAGAAAAATTCAGAAGTCCTCCGGGAGGGACTTTAAGCTGTGGGTCCCGTGTCATAGCTTTACGGCACGTAAAAGAACCTCATGTCCCAAGGGGACCACTGAGCCAAATTCAGGACATTTCCCGCCCAACAGTAGTCTCTAACGCCTCTGGTAGATGGGGGGAGCATCGAGATACCGCTGAGCCAATAGAGGCCGAACTCGCTGGCTGAGTTGGGACTGATGGCATGCACCAGTACCGGTAGGGAGTAGAGACTGGTAGAATATCATAGGGGGACGCACAATGGACCAACAGTTGGTCTAAGTGCATGGGGAAACACACCCTCTTCAATACAATACAATACAATACAATACCCAGTGTTTACAATCCAGAAGAAGAGCCTGGCTATGTATAAGGAAGTGAATTGTTAGTTATGATTCATTAACTCTAACATATGTGTAAGTGACTATGATACTACATGGATACTTTTTGTGTTTCCCACTTGAAATCAGCAGCAAATGAGCTGTGCCTGGCTGGGTCAGATATCTCCTTAGTAATTCAAATCTTGTGTGTATTTCTCATTTCCCCATGCATGCTACATCCTTCCTGCCCATCTCATCCTCCTTGATTTGAACACCCTAATATTATTTGGTGAAGACACATTCTGAAGCTCTTCATTATGAAATTGAAATTGAGCCCTGTCCTCAAAGAGCCTCAATGTATGTTCTTACTTTAGGCTAAGAGATCAAATTCCACATCCATATTTAACAACTTGCAAATTTATAGCTTCAAACTCCAATTTCCACTATCCTCTAGCGATCCATAAAATCAGCGTTGACCATTACTATATGTATTGTAAGAGGTCTCTTTCTGCTGAGCTACACTGACAATTTTCTGACTGTTTGAAAGGTGACATACATCTCTGTACCAGGCCCCGCCCCACACACACACACACACACACACACACAAAGTACAAGCTTATCAGGCACACTGCAACGAATGACAAACTAACAAATGAAACATTCTGCATGTTCACATAATCAAATAAGAAGAGCAAAAGAGTTTCCTCTTTCACTCTATGTTGATTATCTGCTAATAGTATGTACAAGTTTGAGCTAAAGAGTGCATACTTCAACATGAATGAAACTCATATCATCCTGTATCTGAAGGCAGAACTGTCACAAAATGCAGTTCATGAATGAGAAATTTATCCTTTCTTCTTTTGCCATACAAATTGATTTTACTATTCACAGTAATTCAGATATTTCAGAATAAACATCTTAGCTGCAGTACATAATGCCTCTTTAAGTAAGTCCATCTATTCTCCAACCAGATAGGTAAAAGTAAAAAAAAAGTAAAGCTATACCTGTAACAGGCCATGAAGGCCCATAGGGTTGTGAGACATTGAGGGTCCCACATTATCTAGATAATTGGCTCAAAGATGGCAGTAAGGTTGTCAACCTTACGCGCCGGCCGTGCTTTACTCCCCAGGAAAATTATTTATTTAATTCCTGGTACTCATTTCTGTTAGAGGCTGAGTGAACCCCAGGGCCATAGTGCGGCCAGAAGGATTAGGTCAACGAAAAAATCCGATGACCTCATCGGTATTTGAACCTGCGACCTTCCGACTTGTAGCATATTGCCTTAACCACTGCGCTACCATGTGCCCCATAACCAGATAGGTAAATGGTAAAATTATTCTTGTCCTTAATTAAACACCATATATAGGGGTTTGGAAGTACAGCCCATGCATTCTGAACCTTGGCACTAATTAGAGGTGAATGATCAGCCTCATACATTATCATCAGCCATTTTCTGGGAAAGAGTCCCCCTCTCCAAATAAGCAGACTAATTTATAAACTAATTCATATTTCATCTGGTGTTGTTTTACAGCCACAAAAATGGTGAATGTCCTACAACTCCCAAAATATGTTATCTTATCTTATCTACTTATCTTTCCTTGTACTACAATCTATATGCAGTATTGATTCACTGTTTGTACAGATGCAGCTTCATTCTGGCCCCATGTATGCAAACATTAGCTTAACATGACTATACAGATCTGATACATGGACTGTACACTCACCAACAGGAGCATCTTCTCTAACAGTAATGTTGTTCACATCACCTATGAAGTAAGGGTTGTTGTCATTCTCATCCAGCACTTGAATAAAGACATCGGCTAAACTGGAGCGCAGTGGCACCCCTGAATCAGTGGCCCGTACAGTAAAGTTGAGAAAGGGAAACTGTTCATGGTCTATCTTGTTGGCCACTACTATCTCACCTGTCTCAGAATCCAGATGTACCAGATCTGTGGCAGCTCTTGGACCTGCAGGCAGTTTAAATGTCTTAATGTTTTCACTGTGCTATATGCAGCCTCTACACTAGAAAGATAGCACTAATCATGCAAAATATTTGTAATACATGGACTGGAAATGGGGGAAACAAGAAACTGATACAGAAGTTTGATAAGGAGTTCTGTCTTGAAGAAAATAATTTCACTGTGCTCCAGACAGGTGACCACATGTCCTTCCTAAATTTTCTTGCCATAAAAGTCCATTTAATCATTTTTACAAATATTTTTGCACATTCTTCATTAACAACAAGCAACTGAATTTCAGTCTGTGGGAAAGTGGCTCCAATGTTGTTATAGCCTCGACATTTATACTAGGGACAACATCTATACATGAAATTGTAAAGTAGTTTATTCTCTTAACTGAAGATAAATTAGTTAACAATTCATCCACACTGATATAAGTGTTTTTATATTTAGATATCAATTTGTATTTATTTTTGGACTGATTATAACATATCTTCTTACACTTGAGTTTCAAAGCAATATATTTATACACACATTCAATCTTGGTTTGCAGTTGCATTGCAATTAAATACTATTATTAGCAAATTCCCTCCAGAATTTTTGATCCCACTGAAGTTCTACATTCAGGAAGTTCTCATATAGTTTGCTGACATGCTAACATGAGATTTCTCTAGTTTAGTGATTGATTTTAGTTCCAGCACTAGCTGAGGTAGTCCACATTTATTACTATGTACTTCAGTTACCCATGTCACATTTGTAGCAGAAAAGGCAGGGCATTTGAAACATATCTGAGTAATGGATTACTGAATTATAACAACATCTAAATCTGGCTTTATAACAGGATACTAAAAAGTGAGGATCCACCAGTTTCTAACATTTCTGACATAACTTGTTCCAATTCATAAGAGATTGAGAATATGAATATGGTAGTATGTACAAAGGAGGAATGATTAGAAGACAGATTTCAGCATTTACAGGCAGCTTCTATCATAATGTAGCATTTAATATCAGAGAAGATTCTTCTTTCTAGAATACTTCATACTTCTCAGAGAGTTTCTGTATGCCTACAACTGGCAACAAAGTTGTGGGGTGCTAGTACTGATCGTTGTCATCAGGGGTAAAGAACATTTTCTTTGTACTAATTCTCCACATGGGAAATGAAGTACTGAAGATCTTATGATGCACAGATGAATAGTTCTGTAAGTTACATATTTCTTCTTCAGAAGTATAAATAATACTCAGTTTTTTTTCACATTTATGTATTGTGACATTATAACTGAAGATGAATTGGTTACTAGATTACAGCATAGTAAACAACTCATCAATGTAATGTGATTGCATATGCAACAAGGAAATGGTGTTTTCTGTGAGATTCACGCGGATAGAACTCATGGAAGCAGTGCATTTCTTGGAGTCTGTGCAGAGGCTATATAATGAGGAACAGTCTGCAGTCAGTCAGAAGAGTAGAAGTTTGGTGTGAGAGGGCCTCCAGCTTGCAAGAACATGAGCCCGGAAGCAGAGGAACGTCCACTGTTGGAAGATGTTACCAAACAGCATGACTGAGGACACTAGTCTGTGTGTGACAGTTATCTGTGAAGACTAGTCACAAGCTGTATGAGTGTCCAATAAAACTGTCTATCAATCCAAAACCTGTCCATACCCACTTAACACATGAGAGTGTGCTTCATTACCCTGAAAACTGAAGCCCTCTTGGAATAGAATAGGACAATGATGATGTTCTCTTGAAGATGAGAAGGATGCTTGAGTCCTTGAATTCATGATACACCAGGTGTAATATCCCACAGAACACACAGCTGCTGAAGACAATTTTTGGGCAGTAAAACCAAGGAAAGCAAATGCAAATCTACGCCCTCTGCGGCACTTTGGTATACATATATATATGAGGGCTTATTCAGGATGATGAAGATCTACTACGGCTGTCAGCCATACAGAGTAAAGTTCCCATTTTTTTGTTTTACCTAAGGACAGATACGGAGACAATTTAAACTACAGCAAGTTTTAGAATTTTATATTTTGTATCAGAGATATCCAAATAAAGTTCAACAAGAACAAGATCAAGAATAAGAACAAAGGCAGCATCAACAACAATAATAACGATGACTGCAGTGATGATGATACATCATTATCATCAAGAGATTTTATTACAGTGTCGAGGTGCCATTGGTGATGTGACACCTGCATGATATCATTCTGCAGTTTGTGAGAAGAAGGTATTATGCTGGCAAGGAGCTCTACATGGATAATTATTAATTAATAATTGTAACTGTTTACATTTTTCAACCTTTTTGGTACCTACACTATAGTAAGATTTATTTGCTATGACATTATTCCACATTGGAGAATGAGAATGCTCCCACTCACCAGTCTCAAAGCCCTCAAAATAAACAGAGGAGGTATTCAAAGTAGAACTCATGGAAATATCACAGTTGTGTGCCTAAAAGATGAGAGGCATGTGAATGTGTTATCTAGTATACTACCACATGCAGCTGAGGGAAATTTCTGGAATGCAGCAGAGAATTCCATGAAGCCCCGAGTAATCCAGCATCATAGTAAACATGTCACTATAAATGACAGAATGCAGGACTTGGAAATGGACAAAGTGTTATTTTTCATTTATCTGATCAAGATATATTACATTACAGAACGTACCTTCCAACGAATATGTAATGGTCCTATTTTTATCAGCATCATCTGCAACAACATTAACAATGGTAACACCATTTTTGCTATTTTCAGTAATTGACCGACGATAAAATGGACGCCGAAATTTTGGATTATTATCATTCTCATCCTCAACAATGATAGTCAGAATTGCTGAAAAAGAAACAGTACTTCAGATTATAGCATTTTTGTTAAAGTGTATCCTAGACAGAAGTCATTTCAATGAAGAATATTCAGAAAGAATTAACCCTTAAAATCATACCTCTATTTCAGTTTGCCTTACCTGAAGAAGTCTGCTTCTCCTTGCTTGCTGCCAAATCTTCAACTCTGATTCCCAAGCGAATTGTTTCCACCCTCTCTCGATCTAACAATTTAACAACTCGGAGTTCTCCATCTAATGCATTCAGGTCAAATAGACTGACATAGTCATATTCAGAACTCTTGATTATTGTTCCCTCTTCACTCCGTGCCTCTGAGCTATCAGCATCAATATGATAGCGTAATACAGGCTTATCATCAGGGTCCATGGCAGTCACATGGTGTACAATCTGACCCACCTGAAATCACATTAGGCCTATTGCTGATCCTCTTGCTGTTTGTACTATACATATATACTACTCAGTTACAAAGACATTACTCTAAGAAATTTTACTTATGCATATACATATTTTTAGCCTGTCCATCTGTAGACCACACATATTTGTGCACTACTGCAAGTTCTTATAATGAGAAATATGCTGATAAGCTTTTTTAGGTTAACGAGAGGGGAGCCAGTACAGCTCAGGAGAGTACAGAGACAGGCTATATGGGGCTGAATGGCTGCTCTTCCATTCCTGGCAGGGACAAGAGAGTTGTTCCTACTCCACAGCATCCAGACAGGTTCTGGGACCCACCCAACCTCCTACCCAATCGATGCCAGGTGCCTTTTTCCCTGACCGTTAAAGTGTTTGGGCATCAAACAGACTATTCACTTCCATCTAGTACTGAGGTCAAGAATGGTAGAGCTATATTTCAACACCCCCAGCATGTCTTCATGGCATAATGCTTAATTAATTAACCACAGGGACAATTTTAGCTCTCAAAAACACAAAAAATGGTAAGGCCCCAGGTTTGGACAATATCCCATCCAAACTGTTAAAGGAAGATATTGATTTAACAACAAATACAGGGTGTCCAGATGAAAGGTATTCAAAATAAAATAATTATATCTCAGAAAAGCATTTATTGTGCACACTTATGGATTACACCACTACAAAGGGAAACTTTAAATTTTTTTTTCTGAGTATATAACTTTCTGAATAAATTTCAATGTGGGCTCACTTTGTGGCAAGACAAATATCCAGATGATATTCAACCTTGTTCCACGTTGCTTGAATCATGTTTGGTGTTACCATAGTTACAGTGTCCCTTATGTGGGCTTCCAGCTGTTGAAGATCATTGATCTTAACCTGGTAGACAATGTTTTCCACATAACCTCACAAGAAAAAATCTAATGGGGTTAATCTGGCGACCCAGGAGGCCAATCAATTTGTCCATCTCTGCCGATTCATCTCCCAGCCATCTCTCTGTCTAGGTGATTCCTAACATAGTGGCAGAAATGTGGTGGCACCCCATCTTCTTGGAGGATAGTTTGAGGTGGTAATTGGAGAAGTGCATACAGCTCCAACATGTCCAAGTATGAATGTCCAGTCACAGTTTCTTTCCAAAAGAAAAACGGTCCAACCAACTTGTTGTGCATTAAGCCAGCTCACATGTTCACTTTGGGGCTGACTTCCTCCAACTCACACATGACATGTGGATTTTGACTGCCACAAATCCTGCAGTTGTACCTATTTACAACTCCACTGATATGGAGCACTGCCTCGTCTGAGAAGCACACTTGGTGGAGGAAATCAGGTGATGTGTCAGTTCTTGCTAGCATGTCCAAAGAGATGTTTGTGCATGCTACTTGGCCACTCAGTTTTAGAGGGTGTCGAGTGGTCAGCACAATGGATCCCCATGCCTGTTAATTTCGGTTTTCTAGACCGGAGCCTCTATTTCCTTGAAATAGCTCCTCAGTTATTAAATATAACAACTACATTTACATAAATCTCAAGTTATTAAAATATTGTGATTTTCTTTGAGCCGTTCTATGGTTTAGCTCGCTCACGTATGATGTCATCATGTTTCCCTTCACGGATTCCATCCCCACTATGCAGTATCCTGACGTCAGTCACATGGTCCCATGTACCCTCTCGTGAAGGGGAGACTTGTACAGTGCAGTCATGTAGACCAAGTTGACTTGGAAGGTCGGTTACTAGCCAGCAGGTTTGTTGTGGAAAATATTGGTTTCGGCTGGGTTTATTCTAAATTCCCTTTTGGTGCTATCTGGCTGGCCGGTAAGGACTGCCCGCGGTCGCAAGCCGTTGCTTGAATGCTTGCAACGCGCGTTATTAGATTTGGTTTGGTATTTTTTCAGAATTAGACTTGTGTTTGTATAGCCTGAGTGTTTAACGTCCTAATATGTCTAGTGTCAACACAAGTGGTGCTGACGGGAAATTGTTTTGTTCTAAATGAGCTTGCATTAGTTTCTTGGTCAAATGTGTCATTTGTTATTTATGTATTGTTATATATTTTTTATTAAAATTGTATTTGTTCTTATCTAAGCCAACGAACTGAGTGTAGCTTCCTCCTCCTAGCTTGGATACCCCATGTCCATCTTGGGGAGCGTGGGAACCAACAATAGGGCCAGTAACGATTGCGCTGTGCCCTTCCTCTTCGTAATAATAACATAATAATAATCAAAAGGAGAAGAAGACAAAGGGCGCGGTGCATCTTATTTAAAATGTATTGGCAGCGTCTTTATGGAAGTGAAACTTGGTAAATACAACACATAAGTAAACAGTTTCATAATGTTATTTCTCAGTCTGGAAGAATTCTACATTATAAGTAGATACTATAGGGTTCTGACGATGGTGTATAACACACAGAGATGCTGGGTTTTCGGACTGTTTCTTTAATCTGGATTCTAAATAACTAAGTGTTTTTTTTTAATTAATTAAAATTCAGACAATGGACAATGTCCGAAAACCCAGTATCTGTCTATATTATAAGTTAGAAAAGAAGTTAAATATTCAACAAGTACTACCAACAATCAATTTAAGTCATAATATAATTGATTATAGAACAGTTTCTTTAACATCTGCTGAGGATGGCAGATGACAAAATCATGAGAAAGTGACGCTGAAAAGCTGAAGGTGTTTTGCCAAATAAATGGCACTGAACTTACTCGTTTGTGACAATAATAGTAACTTAAAAGTGTCAGCACTGATTATGATGATCCTCTGTATTCAACATACCCACAACATGTATATCTGTAATTTTGGATGAGAACATTCAATTTCTGCTCACCTGAGTATTTTCTTTGACATGAATGCTGCCAGGATCCATCAAGATGGGAGACTTGTTATTGACATCCACAATGGAGATGTTAACATCAGCAGCTGCGGCACGTTGTTCTGATCCAATACCCCCATCTAAAGCCACAACTCGAAGTGAGTAATGAGTTGTCTTGGGATTGGTGCGGTCTGGATCCAAGCTTGCACCATGAGCCATGCTGATAATGCCAGTGTCTGCATCTATTACAAACTTGTCTTCGGCTCCTTGTTGTATGCGATAGACCACTGCATTGTTGGGTGATGAACCGTCACTGTCCCATGCTTTCAACTGCAGAGCATTTGTCTCATACATTTTTCTTATCAGAAGTGTGAAAGGAATATGGCACACACACATACATGAGATTCAGACAAGATTTCTCTACATTAACTTACAACATGATATCAATTACTGAAGCCAGAAAGTGTGAAATGAGACATATGATTATAAATGGATATTTGAGAAATGTGGAAGAGAAAACAGTAACAAGTTAGTTCATGGAGATTATGGGTTCTCAAAAGTAACCTCTAACAACCAAAATTATGTCATACCTGAAGAATTGAGCTTCCACCTTGCATATCCTCGGGAACTGATTTTGTGTACTGATCTTGCTCAAACTGAGGAGCATGATCATTTACATCCTGAACATACACTGTTACCAGAACTTCAGATGAGAGACTAGGTGAGCCCATGTCCTGGGCCTGTACTATGAGGGTAATAGGGCGGACATTCACACCACGGCCCATCACATTACCAGCAGATACCAGCTGCTCAAAGTCCACATGTGTTGCAGGCTTCAGTAGGCCCTGAAGAGGGTCAATGGTGAAGTTGTTGTATGGGTCCCCACGCACAATGCTGTATTGTATTTGACTATTATTTGTACCTGGTGAAGGAAAAGATACTTATAAAATGATATGACAGGGAAGAAGGAAAATTTACATGATGAGGGACTAACACTTTGTACTCTTCGCTCTACCTTTGTTAGGGTAACTGAACCACCAAGATAGACGAGACAGGTTTCTGCAGTGGTAATGCTCTGTAACTGTATTCAGGAGGTGCCTAGTCTGACTCTGGGCTGCATTATAGGCTATCCTGACTGAGACACATCATGATTTTCCTTATTCTGNTGTATTCAGGAGGTGCCTAGTCTGACTCTGGGCTGCATTATAGGCTCACATTATGATTTTCCTTATTCTGTCCAGTTGAATGCCAAATAGTACTTTGTTGTAAGCAACACAGCACACATATAAACTACACCAGTAATAACAAGAAAACATCACCAAAATGGATAGATGACAATTCCATTATCAAGGAAGATAAAACACGTTACATATTGGTTCACGAACATATTTCTTAACTTAAAAATAAGTTTTTACACACATTCATAACATAATTTTAACGTAAAGAAAGGCTGCTGTGGTGAAACAAATTGAATTTTATATACAGTGCAGTGGAAAACTACATTTTTAAACTATCCTTTATGAAAGTGATTACAACTATGTCACTTCTAAGTAATATACTTCAAGAATGTTCTTATTATAAAAGTTTACATCAAACATCTATTTTGACAATGGAAAAATGAACAACTACATACCGTATGTCCAAAAAGTATCCGACTTTATTTTTTTCCGCTGTAAGTAATGGCCAAAGCGGTGGGGAAACTGAGCATAGTGGTAGAGGGGACTTTCATGCGCATGCGTGATTTTTTGCTGACTCGCAACACCGCCAGATGCGCCTGTGGCTGCCAGATAGCGAAGTGGTGTAACACGTGTTCGTCACATTCTCGTTTCACTCAAGATGACAGAACGCTTGGAGCAGCGATACTGCATTAAGTTTTGTCAGAAACTTGGGGATACCCAAGCGGAAACATTTCGCAAAATTCAGCAGGCTTTTGGCGATGATGGAATGGGGGTCACTCAAATTAAAGAGTGGTTCAACCACTTTAAAAATGGTTGTATGTCAGCGGACAGTGGGCAGCATTCTGGGAGACCGTCAACGAGCGGGAATGATGATGTCATTGAAAAAGTGCAGACACTGATCATGGAGGACCATCATTTGGCCGTCCATGAAGTTCCTGATGAGGTTTGGATCAGCAGAGGTTCCGCAAACACAATTTTAACTGAGGATTTGGGCATGCAAAGAGTGGCGGCAAATTTTGTGCCCAAGCTGCTTTCACAGGAGCAGCAACAACTCCGCCTTGAGGTCACGGAGGACATGCTGGAGTGTGCCAACAGGGATCCTGAGTTCCTGAAGACTGTGATCACTGGTGACGAGTCGTGGGTGTATGGATATGACCCGGAAACCAAGGTCCAGGCATCACAATGGAAGCATCCAACATCCCCGAGGCCCAAAAGAGCATGACAGGTTCGGAGCAATGTGAAGGTGATACTGACTGTTTTTTTCGATTACCGGGGTGTTGTGCATCAAGAGTATGCACCACTAGGCCAGACTGTCATTAAGGAGTACTACCAAGAAGTCCTCCGCCATCTTCCTGATGCAGTTTGGTGCAAGAAACCGGAGCTGTGGGACGCACGCAACTGGCAGCAGCATCATGACAATGCCCCAGCTCATTCATTGCACCTGATACAGGATTTCCTGGCCAAGCACGGCATTCCGCAGGTTCGCCAGGCTCCCTACCCTCCTGACATGTCTCCTTGTGATTTCCGGCTGTTCCCAAGAATGAAGACACTGCTAAAAGGCTGCCGTTTTGACAGCCACGAGGACATCATACAGAACGTGATGGCACAGCTGCATGCCATTCCAAAAGAAGCCTTACAGAATTGCTTCCAGCGATGGAAGGACCGCTGGGCTAAGTGTATGGAGTCATAAGGGGCCTACTTTGAAGGCAATTAGGTCTTGTAACCACCCAGATGCAGAACTTTTTTTCCCAGCCCAAGGTCGGATTCTTTTTGGACAGAGTAGTATAGTGAGCATCATGAATGTTTTAAGCATATATAGTCTTATAAAAACATTTACGTATTGGTGGGTTCCTGATCGTAGTGGTATACCTCTGATGATGATTCATTAAGAATCGAAACATGTTAGGTAACTAAGTGCTGAAGTGGGGAAAGCCTTATATGTCACATTGGACTGAAATAAACTTAATTGTAAATCTAATTAGACTCTTTACCATGTAGCTAGTTTTAAAAAAAATAGTATTTTCCATATGTCTGCAGGATACAAACAATTTTCACACCAATATCAGGATATTTAACATTATTACTTTATGTTTGCAGTGCAGTGTTTAACACTTTGAGCCTAACAATTGTAACCGTACACTGTGCCTAGTTTTGCCTAGATGCCAAAGGTAATAAAATACTATCTTGACTTGAAAAAATCATAGTAAAAAGCTACCTGCAATATTGATATAAACTCTTCGCTGTTTTACAGGTCAAAGCCTCTAGTACTATTTGTAGTCTGCAGTGGGCTTTATTTGTATAGCACTGTGAAGTTAAGTTAATAACTAACTACACGAACATGAGCAGAATCATAATATTGTAGTGTGCAGACACGTTACCGGGAAATGACCTTGATACAAACAATGAAACACATCTGCTGCTAGGCAACAGATTCTTAATAAGCTAGTATACACAGCTGTTACTGAGTAACGCCTTTCTCAAATGAACATGTTCCCATGGAAATGATTGGAGTACAACAATGAACTGTGTTTTCCACACAATCCATGGTGAGATGTTATAAGTAGGACAATTAGAACAGAAGTGCAGAGATAATTGTAAGGGACTCTGTGAAGAGAAGACATAGTGCAGTTAGCTGAAGATCTCCACTGTTAGAAGCCATTAACAGGGAACGACTGGTAATGATTGAAAGATGTCATTAACCTGATTAGTTAGTGAGTAGCATTTCCAATAATTCCCTAAATATGAAATTCAAATCATAATTTAAACAAACACAACATGTACCATAATATTATAATATGGTACAAAACAAAAGGTTAGATTATATTTAGCCTTATATATATGCAGTTTTTGTTTTCATATTTTAATTTAAATGCTTCTGCTTAGGTCATCTCATCTAGACCTATTTCTTACTCAACTCTTAATACCTCCGCTGCAGGTGTTCCCTCAAAGCTGACAAACAAACCACTGCTATTGCTTAGATTTCATTTCACACATAAAAATAATGCCAAAACAATACATGTGTCACATGTATACTCCTTATACACACTACCAGTAATTACATGTAATAACATTATCGCTATTTCCACACTTTATAATTCATTTTTACATACACACCGGTCATCTCCTGGTAACACAGTTGAAACACAGGGACTATGACAGTCTCACTGAATTACACACTCCAAATATTACACATAAAGTCTCTTCTTCACAGCCGCACTCTTGTAACTAACTCTTAACTGCACTGCACTCTGCACTGGCCAGTTTTATGGCTCACCCCTCATACTCATACTCAATCTAAGCTATAGCAGATCTTCATTATATAGGCTCTGCATGGACAACACAGAAAATATAAGTCACTTGGTTCCTAGCCAGCAAGTTCATTGGCGCTCTGCCTGTTGCCCAGCAATGAGCTATAACATTAGTTCACTGAGACACATATTTAATTGTTGCACGTCAGAATGTTTTTACTGAGCCATTGCCTAGAAACGCTTTGAGCAAATCCGTTACATGTACGACGGTTCATTAAAATAAGAAGGTGGTTTTCATTCTAGTATCCAAGCTCCAACTGCTGCTAACATGTCAAAATGAAAAATCTGCATCAGTTATAAACAAAACCGCATCACTGAAAAATACTACTATTTGGCCTCTGGCTTTATCACTGTTTGCATGATGACCACCTCCCTCAAAAATGGGAGATAAACTATGTGCCAAAAGATATCAATTTCTTGCCATAAAAATGGTGATAAGGACATGATGTTTTTGTTCTAAGTATTGCACATGACAGCATCATGACTGAAACACCAGATTTGAGAGACCGTGAAGCGCAAGAATAATGTTCAGTGATGGATGATAATAAGAATAAAACAGGTGTTAAGAAATCTGCCCAAATATTATCAAATTTTTCACTTCAAAGAAACTCATTTTTAGAAGTGGAAAAAATTCCTTTTTCACTCCCTTGACCTTTCCAGAATAAACTCTACATCAGACGACATTC